TAGGAATCTCGGCCGCTAGGAATTCCGCCCGCTAGGAAATCTCGTCCGCTAGGAAATCTCGCCCGCTAGGAATCCCGCCCGCTATTCTTCCATAACCCGGCCGTACCAGCGTGTAGCCTAGCTGCCCAAACTCTCCAAGCCTCGGCCGTAACTTTGCAAGACCTCCAGAGCTTTTGGCTCGGCCACAATTCCAAGAGCCTAATTTCATCCGTGCCCAGCTCCATTCGGCCCAACTTCGTAGTTGAGAAGCCCGGCCGCTATTCTTCTCGTGCCCAGCCAATTCTCGTGCCCGGGTTAGGTGGATTTCTACCACCCCTAAACAATAGCTTTTTCTTAATCTCCATGCGTTTGTCATGTACAAGAATGAATTAGTTAATTATTAACTACCTCTGTGTGAGCAGCTTGGACTGATGTGCATCGAGTTGCTCAACAACTTGATTGAATCTCGTAATCTCGTATCTCTAGTCAGTGACGTGGTGAGATGTCAAATCCTGTTATTGGTAATTACCTTCTTGTTAATCAGTAATTACTTACTTGTTTCCAACCAATTCGATTGTGACCACTTAGAATTAGGTGTAAGATAATGTTGTTTGGTGAATATATCCAAACCACCAACTAATTAGATTTAGGTGCTATATTTGACTACAGTGGCAATGGGTACTTTTTGAGTGAAGTGAGCACATTTTTACCAAATCGGCCATTTGCGTCCTACTTATTAACTACTAATTAAGATTATTGATTTCTTTAATTTTAATTAAGTTGGTAATGCAAAGTCCCTTAAAATTATCCACCCCACCCCACCCCACCCCAAGGGGACTTGCATTTCTATATATATATATATATAAACAAGGTTGGTTGGTACTTGGTATGCATGGTTCACACACAGACACACACAGCTCCTATGGCCACTTCAATATCTTACTTGTCTAGTAGACCTGCCCTTGTTTTTGTTGTTGCATTGTTGGAATATTATCTCATCTCCCTTAATCACCTGGTATTCAGTGCTAACAGCTCTCCTAATTATAATTACTGCGGACCCATTGAAGCCAACGACACTGACCTGATTCAGTTTGCGTTGAACTTGGAATTCTTGGAGGCTGAGTTTTTCCTGTATGGTGCTTTTGGCGAAGGGCTCGATGCTATCAGTCCAAATTTGGCTCTAGGTGGGCCCCCTCCCATTGGCGCTCACAAGGCCAATCTCAACCCTCTTTTTGCCCCTATCATCCAAGAATTTGGATATCAAGAAGTTGGTCATCTCAGGTATAATTTTCTCCAATTGTAATTAACTTGTTAATTATACTTATAATCCCCTCAATGACTTGCATTATTCATGAATTTTCAGAGCAATTATTACAACAATAGGAGGATTTCCAAGGCCTCTGTTAAACCTGAGCCGTGAGAATTTCGCAGCACTGTTTGACCAAGCAGCGGGGTTCCCGTTGACCCCTCCATTTGACCCATATGCAAACTCAGTCAATTATCTGCTCGCATCCTATACCCTCCCTTACATGGGACTAGTAGCATATGTTGGCACCATTCCAGACCTCATTGAGCCAACTAACTGTAGTTAATTTTAAGTATTTATTTATCAAAGTAATTAACACTCTTAATTTGTGCGTAGTTGGTGGCATCACTTTTGGGGGTGGAGGCCGGACAAGATGCAGTGATACGTGCCTTGCTGTATAACATGGCTCATTGGAAGGTGTTTCCGTACACACTCACAGTGGCTGATTTCACCAACCTAATTTCTGGCCTTAGGAACAAGCTTGGCGGGTGTGGCATCAAAGATGAAGGCATCATAGTGCCCGAGAAGCTCGGGGCTGAGAATCGGACGTGTAGCAACGTCCTGTCGGCTGACCCGGATTCGCTGTCGTATGCCAGAACACAACCTGAGATCCTGAGGATTGTGTATGCAACTGGCGATGAGTCTGTGCCAGGAGGATTTTATCCTCGAGGTGCAAATGGCAACATTGCAAGGCACTTCCTTAATGATTATTAGTATCTCTTAATGATTTATAAGACCACCCAATTAGTGCTTGTCTCTAAGCTAGCACATAAATCATTAACTAAGACCAATACGTATCGTTATAATCATGTTGTTTGTGTTTATGAATTTCAATCAATGAGTGTAATAATGAATTACGAATTGTTATTGTATGAATTGTTTGTACGTGACTTTTTTTTTTTTGGAATTATACCAAGTGCTTTTAAGTTTGTCAACCCCTTATAATTGGATTATTTCATTAAATCCTTACCTTATTTTTACAAGCGATTTTCGGAAGAGGAGGATTCAAACACTTTTTATTTATTTAAAACAAGCGATAGTGTAAACTATAAAAGGAAGGGGGGGAGGGGGTGTGTGTTTCTCACACACACACACAACCAAGGTGCCATGAGGGTTCGAACCTAATACCACTATACGCCAAGTTAAAGTAATTTTTCACTGGGCTAGATTCTGTTTACATATTCAAACATAAAACTTTAAGTGCATAGACCAATAATCACTTTAAGTGGTTTTAAGAGATTATATGGAGAAGTACATGACAGACGATTCTGCCTCATAATCTCAAGTTGATGGGCCTTGAAGCCCAACTTAAACTATGGCCTTTCCTTATACAAATACAATAACGTTCTCTCTGACTAAAAATATAAACACCACAATACAATATTCATTTCTCATTTGTTAACGTCGAGCAAGATTCTCTCAAAATGTTTATCAATATTGACGATGAGCCGAAGCAAGCAACAGTTGGCTTTTGATTGGACAACACCTACGTACGGTACCTAACCTAATTGGGTTTTCAAAGATGGGTCGTCCTCATCATCTCATCGACCTGTCACCTTTTTTGTACAGATTCATTTGCACCCACAATTAAGTGGAAATTAGAATAGACACAGACTGTGTTAATAATGTATGAAAATTAAGGCTGCTTATTGAAGTTGGGCATGTGGGACCCAAGTTTAGAGGCGGATGGGATTAAGCATTGCTAACACACACGAACTTGGTTAAACAAACGATTAATCAAGTACACCCTACATTTACTTTTTATGTGCAATATATATTATGGAGGAGTTAGTAGTAAACAATCATATAAATTAATGCACATTGGTTTTGCTTCATTCGCTCAATATATAAATTGTTCTAATATTGATTGATTGATATAGCATCAAGTTTTGGTAGCTAGCAATGGCTACTTCTTCAATATCTTATTGTTTCAGTGTTGCCTTTGTATTTCTTGTTGCATTGGATATTCTCAGCTTCCACGTCATGACTGCTTCAGGTCAAGTAGCCAACGACACTGACCAGATTCAGTTTGCGTTGAACTTGGAATTCTTGGAGGCTGAGTTTTTTCTGCATGGTGCTCTTGGCAAAGGGCTCGACGATATCAGTCCAAATTTGGCTCAAGGAGGTCCGCCTCCTGCTGGTGCTCGTAAGGCCAATCTCGACATTCTTGTTGCTCCGATCATTGAGGAATTCGCTTATCAAGAAGTTGGTCATATCAGGTCCGTCAATTCATCTCTAGGCATAAATGTTATTAATCACCTTAACTATCTGCTCATGATATATATATATTTTTTAATAACAACGATATTTATTGATAAATTTGCAGAGCAATTGTTCAAACAGTAGGAGGATTTGCAAGGCCTCTGTTAAATCTTAGCCGTCAGAATTTCGCAAAAATGTTTGACGAAGCAGTGGACTTCACTCTAATACCTCCATTTGACCCGTATGCAAACACAGTCAACTATTTGTTGGCATCCTATTTGATCCCTTACGTTGGACTCACCGGTTATGCTGGCACCCTTCCTAACCTCACCGCCCCTGCTTCTCGCGGAGTACGTTATGGCCATGCTTACTATTCCTTCCCAAAAGTGATATTGAAATAAATTATTTTTCGATTCTGATTACGTTTATCAACACATGCATGCGTATTGAAATTATCTCCATACGTTTATTAAAACGTACAAAATAAAAGACTACGTCTACGTGAGTTCCACGTTACAATTCGTAATCTAATTATATCTATATGTACCATATGATAATATGTAGTTGGTTGCATCACTTTTGGGTGTTGAGGCCGGACAAGATGCAGTGATACGCACACTACTGTATGAAAGAGGGAATCAGATCGTGCTTCCATATTCTCTGACGGTGGCTGAGTTCACGAACCGAATATCGGAGCTGAGGAACAAGCTGGGCAAGAGTGGCAACAAAGATGAAGGCATCAGAGTACCCATAACGCTTGGGGCTGAGAATAAAACCACCAGTAACGTTCTGTCAGCAGATATGAATTCGCTATCGTATGCAAGGACGCCACCTGAGATCTTGCGGATTGTGTACGGAACAGGCAATGAATCCCTGCACGGCGGATTTTATCCTCAAGGTGCAAATGGCAAAATTGCAAGAGGACCTGCGTTACCGTGGCTGGAGGACGTATAGGAGGCTAGAAATCAATATGATACACTCACAAATAATCAGGGCTGCAATTTTAATTGCAGTGCGCGATTAGAATTTAATATATATGTATGTCACCATGAATCTTGAGACTATAATAAATAAAGTCTTGATTCTTATTCGACTATGTAGTAAATCTAAATTATATCAAGAATAAGATATGGCGCTCACTTATTAAGGGTGTATCAAGTTTTCTTTTTCTTTTATTTTCCATAGTTACACTCTCCGACCCAAAATATAAATAAAAATTTAAAGATCTCGTGTTCGAATCCCTCTTCTCAATAACATTATTATCTCCCAGAAAAGAAAGCTACCAAATCACATGATGTCCACTCCATCCATTGACTATTTTCTGGTGATTATGAACATTATGGTAGTTAAGTAGTTGCTTTCTCCTTTTTCCGGTCTCTCTGGCCTGTAAAGTTGTCTGAGAAGTGGGGTAATTTGGCAGCACTTTATGTGGTGGGGGAAGAGATTTAACCCTTCCACAAAGTTGTTCTTTTGATATCTCTGTGAACTTACAAAATCTTAAGTTTAGTTCTTAATTAATGAAAGATTAGTCCTGTGCTGAGCATTTCATTAGGTTTCACTTCTTAATTACCACTAAATTACTTAAATCTTAATCTTGTAAGAATTTAGCTACTGTGAATATTCTCTTGCTATAGTTTTCGATTTCCTATTTTTTTTGCTTTTATTATTATTATTATAAAGTAATGTTTTAACTATACTTTAATATATGGGAAGAGAGATTAAACTCACGGGCGGCCCAGGAGTGCAGCTTTCGATTTCCTATCACTTGATTTGAAAATTTCAAGAAGGGTAATGCATGGTGACTCAGTGTGTCAATAGTGGGGTACGTTTTGTAAATGTAAAGCCCAAACTTTAGGGTAAAAGTAGCAGTAAACAGCAAAATTGAGATCCTTGATATATTTTCCTCCAACCCCAAGCGCCCAAATATCCAGAAACAGCTCTCGATCCTTGCTTTGCTTGACATATAGATATAGTTTGCATGCGCATGTTGGGTGCACGCTTGAACACGGTGCAGATATATCCACACACCCACACACACAACACAACAAACACTTTATGACCACTGATCATTAGACTTAGCTGCATTGCATGACTATAGTCTATATATATATATATATATTCTTGATATAATTTTCAAACAGGCCACTAGGACATCATGGTCATCATCACCTTTAAAGCTTAATTTGTGGAGCTACATGAAGTTGCAATTGAATGTACCAATCTCACGATGAACGAACACCGGCCATTGTGGAGTGAGCTGTCTTTGTAAACTCATCAGTGCCATATTTTTGTGAGGATGTCGTACATTTCTTCACATCCTCACAATTTTATTCGGAAACCAAAATGATCGATAATGTCAAGTAAGTATAAAGCTGTACAAACCGAGTACAATTCTCTGTAACTACGTACTTTTTTCTTTGTTCTGCTTTTTTGCTGTACACATAAAATCTATGAATTGCTGCCACCCAATTGTTTCTGATGTCAGCGCATTGCATATACGGCTCTATCCAATCCAATTCAGATATTTTCATGTCCACACCAAATTAACAAGAAATGAGAAGCATGTGCAACCATTTTACAGTATAGCATTTGCCCTTGTCTAGCCAAAAACAAGAGAGGCTTAAAATTGACTGTTTCTCTGTATCCCAAATTAGTTTTCTTATTTATATGGATTCAAAACATAAAAACTCGTCGTTTTCATTTGATCTAACAAAAGCAAGAGCAGAGGTTGATTTTATTAGCGTTCAAATTTTTGTCTGGTATATTGATCTGTTTTGTTTTCTTTTCATGCAAGCAAGCAAGTAATTAGACCAAGACAAGAATTGAACTTGAGCAGACTTGTTTTTGTCTTTTCTTCATAGAATTAAAATGATGATACAAACATTAAATTAATTAAGGTGCATAATTATTTTATATCCTCTGCAGAATGAGATGGCAGATGCATATTTAAATCTTATTGCACTACCTTTGTTAGTTGAGTAGCAGGGAAATGAAGAGTAACAAAAAGAGTTGTAATGTATCCCTATAATAAAGGGATCCACTTTGGATCCCTTGGACTAAAGAAACAGGCCTTGACATTAGAATCAAGCAGCTTAAGCGCCTTATTAGACTTGATGCACCTTGGAGTTTTGTACTGGTTGATTGAACCCCCTTGGCTAATGAAATAGTCCATCAATTTCTCGAACGTGCCGGGCTCCACCACACGTATCTCAAGCGGGCCCACTGACTTGTCGTGTGTGCGGCATCGACGGTAGATGTAGTCAAGCTCCTCTTCCACTGCAATGCAGCATTCTTGGAGCACCTTATCCACATCAAGTGTTGAAGAGTCCAAATCCACCACTGATGATCCATGGTGTATGATCTCCCAATACAAGACGTAGTGACCGGGCAAATGTGACGTGTCCGCATAGCTAGTGTACTCCACAAGCAGAGCATTGAAGGGCTCTAGCAATTTTTTGGCTACACTTACGCTTTTGTGCAAGTCCTCTTCATTGGTTTTGTCATTGTCGATGCTGAGAACAACATTCCTCCTACAAATGAACCTAAATTGTGGCGCTTCGTTGTGAAATCCAGTCACTTGGAGCACATCACCAATTCGATAACGATATAATCCTGATTAAATCCAAATCCAAATCCAAATCAATCAATCTTTGAAAAATTAAACCTACCTAGTGCTAAATGCTTAGTGCTAGAAATATATATCTTACCAGCAAAAGTGGTAACCACCAATTCATAATAGCAGCCAAGCCTCACTTGCACCAAATCAACCAGCTTATCATTACGCACCTCCTCGTCCTCATCTATGTCCATGAGCCGTGTCCCGTTCTCTCCCAATGGTATGAATTCAAAATATCCCATATTGGGCAAAAGGGTATACGCCACGTCAGCAGGGTCACAGAGGGGCTCCAAGTTGACACCAAAGTAGCACTCTGAGGAAGCATACATGGTGCAAACTAAGGGAAGTTTTCCATCGCTATAATACTCTAAAGCCGGTATATATTGTGCCATGGACCCCGTGACCACAGCCTCAATGTACTTGGCTTTAGGCCAAAGCTGGCACAGAATTCCCTTCCATGATGTTTGGCTACAAATGTCCTTAATCTCATCAGCTAAACTAGGATTAGGCAGAGAAAGCAAGGGAGCCATCGATAATCGGCATTCGGGGTCTGTGATAAAAGGGTCTAATTGTCCAGTACGTATGTCATTGCAAAAATTGACCCAATTACGTTCAAGGAACGAAATCGCTCGTAGGAAAGCGGATGCAAAGACGGCCCCGAGCCGCAGGACTTGGTGGCGGTGGACAAGGCCTGATAAGAGCTGGCAATACATGCTTTGGTTGCTGTCATTGCAAAGAATGGTCTGGTCAGGGCTTGTGCCATTGTTGAAAGGGTCGAGCCCCCGGCACTTGAAGTGGCTGCTCTTGTAGTAGCTGGTAAGCACCGTTCGAGCTGGCAAACCACAAGGTGTTGACATTTCTGCCTTCACAAAGTAGAGGAACATAGCCTTGCCCTCGTCTAGACCAGGGACATACCTGCAATATTTAGAATATCGAACACATGGGAATAATTGTAATCAAAATCATGACCAGCATACAGTTCTTGCCCTTGACAACCATCAATATATTATACAAGAGATAGTCTAAACTACTCTAAATTAATCTAATCTACAAAAAGAGAAATTCAAACTTGTGCAAGAGGACGGGCTTACTACCTGACCAATTGACCTAACACACATTTGCATCAACATATTAACTTTAATATTTCGGTTAGTGGCTTGCACATCAAAATGGAAGAGGATAACATTTTTAGGCTAATAGCCTTGAAGAGGATAACATTTTTAGGCTAATAGCATTGAAGAGGATAACATGTCCCATCATCAGGCCATGTTCTCAACTGTGCACAATCAAGCACAGTGGTTGGATAAGGAGATTAGCTAAACTTTTTAACAATAGGGATCGTTTGTTATCACTAGCAAAGAATTTGGTCAAAAGAAGGGTAAAGGAGGCTATCTTTACTTAAAACGAATATATGCACAAATATTGTGGTTCCCTCCTAGAGGGGAAATATTTCAAGTTCATAGTAATGCATGAGATGTGAATGAAAAGAGAAGTTGTAATTAATTAACTGGTTCATAATTGGCATAATGAGATTATATAGAAAGGTTCGACGATCCAGATCTTCTGCGATCGATGGCATCATCTTAGGCTTTCTGCCTGAAGTTCCTGAGCTGCAAATTTCCATAAGCAAAGTACATCAAAATTGATCACATGTAAAAACAAGTAAAGAACCCATCAAAGAGGAACAGAGGAAAAACAGAGATACCTGCATAACATTTCAGTTATTGGGTGGCCAGTAATGAGAGAAGAGTCTTCACCATTAGCAATTCTTTGGATGTAAGGCTGAATGGCCTTGTAAGTAATGACTGGGACACATTGCTTAAAAGCTGATACATCTTTTGATCCCTTCATGTACTTACTCAAATACTCGGTTTTTGAATTTCGTGTTAAGATCTCTTTTAGAAATTTGAACTGAACTTTATCAGCCTTGGCTGTGAGCCTCTCAATCTCCTTCAATGCCTCCTCACCTTTGTACTCTAGTTTCTTCCCATCCATGTTGTTAGTAATTAATTATAATCAAGGAAGCAGAAGAAACTAGAGTAGAAGAAAACTCTTGCTGCTAAATAGTTTTAGAAACCAATAGGAGGGTCTATATATAATGAGTTTGGCTGTGTTAGATGATTCTCACAGGTGCTTTGCATTTTTAATTCGCTTCTTTTCTTTTTTCTTCCTTTTTCTTTCCACATCACTGCAACCTAATTGGGAACAGTTGGTGCTGACGACATCCAAAATGTGGCCCCTACATATGAAATGCAGAAATCTGAACAATCTGGCCCCTACGTATGATTTGTAGAAATTGTAATTATATATAATTTAGTTAAGCATGCATCAGATATAGCAATTTGTCTGCATGGAATCCATGATGTGTTTATGATGCTCCTACTATTATTCATTTCCTTTGTATGAAAATTTTAAACAATACATGCATGAATTTCAAGTTAGGAAATTCTTAACTGAAGAACTTGAATAAATCCCCCCATGTTTGTTTAATCATGTGGCAAACTTTTGCCTGAGAAATTATTAATCACAACTTTGTCAGATGTAAAATAATGAAATTTGGGATGATTTTCTTGCATAGTACACCATAGAACATGATCATGATGCATCATCCTCATTTTTTGGATAAGGCAATTGGAGAAGGGGGTTCTATGGAGATTAAGTCCTTCATACAGATAACGGGGTGATGGTGATTAAAAGCACATAATCATGCGTCTACTTTTAAATTTGACAACAGGACAATGTGACGTACAGTTTCAAATACTGATTGATTTTGTTTACAACACTGAAATCACAAGTATCTGGTTCTTACATCATGGATTGTCCACATGCTAGAGAGAGAGAGAGAGAGAAGAGTTTTTTTTTTGCTCTTCTTCTTGTGTCAATCAAAGTGTGCGTGAGTAGGGAAAGCTCTAAAACCAGTAACTTTCTTTCTAGTAGTATATGTTCCCTTCTATCTCTCAGAACAGAATGTCAGAATGTGACGTGTAAAACACAAATTTAAAAAAAAGAAGAAGAAAGGAAGCCCCCTCTGTTCCTCTACTTCTGCATTAAGTCTCTATAGCAATATGTACTTAGTGGTTAACAAGCTGTACCTGCACCAGAAAACTGAGCACTTAAAACCAACCAAAAAGGCAAGTTGCACTTGCAGTGAAGGCATCAAAAGGTCAGTTCATTCAAGCGTCACACGATCCCCATTAACCCTAAAGTAGTTATTCTTAAACTACCATATTTATTAGGACATTGAATTCGATTACAAGGAATTGCAGCTTCTCTTTATATGTTGGGATTTGATCGATCGATAGATAGGCTTTTTCTACAGTGACAACCAGAAACAAGGAACAATCTCAGCCATTCAATGAGTTGATCAAGATGCTCAAGAGGGCTGCCGACTGCCCTGCAGAAAGAAAGAAAAAAACATCCTCATCCAAAATGGGAGACCAATTAACTGGTGTCATCGTCAGCATCTTTAATTAAGAAACAAATGTACGAAAAGTCCCATATGTTTAATTGATATTTCTTCCTCTGCATGACAGTTGTAGGTAGACATGGTTGTAGTAGTGAGATTGAAATCTTTTCCTAAACCAGGCAAGTTGTTGATGGCGTAGAAGAAAGTAAACTATACTGAGCTTGATTTTCCAAGGTCAGCTTGTGCTGCTAAAATTATGGTGGGGGCGTGCCTAGCTTCCACTCAAAATTTATGGTGCCCCCCCTCCATCTCCAATATCTGCTTTGCTTTGGAAGTATTCTCTCTATGATATTCAGCACTCACTCACTAACCATACAATAAATAAATAAATAATAAAATAATAAAATTATGAGCCCCATGATCCCATATATATATATATATGTAATCTTGGGGTGCCTTCTTTCATGATTATCCACCATATCCAGTTTGGATATCCTTATTTCTTGAATACAATCATGCTCAGAATGGCAGTATCTTTATGTGATCACTGATCAGGTAACTATTTCGTCAGCTAGCCTGAGGCCCAAACAGATCAGATCAGATCAGATCAGATCAACAGCATGCATGTGACTATTTCTTGAGTAAATATATATATATATATATATGAATGATATCCGGCAATCCTAGCAGAGGAAATCAAACAGAGGATCCGGGTTCTACAAAAATTAGCGCAAATAACTTTTTTGACAGGAGAATCATTCTCAATGTCTATCTGATAAGATTGAGGTAACATGGGGTCTAAGACTCTAATTAAATCATTTACTACAATTCAAAAAGACAACAGAAATGTTCCGTTGGCAAGTTGGTATATAATCTTATGCCGATACATATGCATGGTACCATCTGCAGGTTCTAAATACTCCTCCTCCACCAAGGCATCAATCCCTCCACTTTATGATGAAAGCCTACCGCTATCCCCCTCCTGCACTCACCCGAACGAAATAATCAAAACATTTAAATGTGAAAGCGCTATTAATTTTTTGCTTTTGGAATTGGAAGCGCGGACGCGGCGCGGCGAAATCAAGCGCTGGAATTTACTGTTTCTGCACAAGCATATGAATTATGTACTCATATGGTGTATTGATTCAAATAGGATGTTGCTTAGCCAAGCAGAGCCTCACAGGACATAGGATAGTAGGTGTTTGGTTGCTCTCTATCAGAGAAAAGGGTTTTTGTGGTATCCACATGCATAATGCATTATTATTTTTTTAGGGTTTCAACTTTAGCTTATTTGGGCTAGACTAGCTTTTGGTGTCAATAGAATCCATTCCTTTTGTTTTGTGTCTAGTCATTTTATAACTTTTGCCCATCACTTTTGTTCTTGGATGGATGGGGGCAGACTGAAACCAGGGTAGAGTTACCTTTTAGAATTAGAGGGACTTTCTTTGGGCAACTCTGGTTGAATTTAATTTATTCATAATATACCTTTGATATGTTTTCAGGTGAATTTCAAAAGAACCAATTTTTCTACCATTAAAAAAACAAATATATTAATATGACAATAATTTAAAAAAAGAACAGGAAAAAAAATTGTAAATAGGCCCGGTGTTTTAGTGACGGTAAAATATCTGTCTCATTATTTGCCTTTGGTGACGGTGGATTGGGGACACAATCTCAGACGTCGGTTCTGCGGCACATAAAAAAGCGTTCCCATGCACGGACGGCTAGGATCTTGTTCTGTTGATGCAGAGATGACACTAGATTTCTTCGCTATCTTGTTAGACTGTTAACGGTCGAGAGTGCGAGTTGGTAAAACTCGCTCAATGGCTGTGGCTACTCTGGCTCTGCACCAGCAATGGCTCTCCTTCTCGAACCCAATAACAAGAACAAGGCCATGGCTTCCCGGCAGAACAACCACCCTTACCCATTTGCAAATCCATAAGAACTTGGCCGGTATCTCTCTCATTTCCTGCTGCTCTTCTTCAACTTCTCAGTCCACTGATGCCAATACAGAGACCGCCGAGTCTTGTGTCAATTTGGGTCTCCAGCTCTTCTCCAAAGGACGGGTATATATTCTCCTTTTCCCTACGAGCCATTGCAATATTCAATTTAACTGAGCTAAGTTTACGTTTTCGTGAGACGGGTATGCTGAATTTTGGTGATTCCTTTTTGTTTTCCCATAATATATGAGCTAAAATTGTTCTTCTTTAAGGCTATCAAGCAGAAATATCGTATCTTTGCAGTTGGTTCTTTATTTTTATACGTTTAAAAATTTATTGTTGCTGACAAGAAACTGTCTTTTTGGTGTATGAAAGTATTTGATTGATATTATGGCCACGATCCTGCACTTTTCAGGTTAAAGATGCTTTAGTTCAGTTTGAAACAGCACTTAGTTTAGATCCCAACCCAATTGAAGCACAAGCTGCGCTGTATAATAAAGCCTGCTGTCACGCCTACAAGTAAGAATTTCATAGCTTTTGCATTGGCTTTCCTCTGTATCTTATCATTTGTATTCAGGAAAGGCCTTTATCCAATCACAAACGCCATAACTGTACCGATTATCAAGCATCAAACCTGATCAGATTTCTCTATCTAAAATGCCTGAAGTTTATATTTTTCTATCTGAAACTAATCCAGAATTTAGCCCTAACTAATTATTGGCTAGGCTGATGGATATTGTTTTTTGTTCCCATTTTGAGGAAGAGGGGAAGGAAGGAAAGCTGCTGATTGTCTACGTACTGCCTTGAGAGAATATAACCTCAAATTTGGCACAATTTTGAATGATCCTGACTTGGCCTCTTTTAGAGCTTTGCCTGAATTTAAGGAATTGCAGGAAGAGGTTTGTTACTAAACTCAAAGTTCAAACTGTTCACTTTTACATTGTTTTACTTCATTTGGATACTATGGATGCTTTGACAGTTATTTTGTACTGTAAAGACTTTAGAGTGCATCTCATCCTCTGGTTCTTTCAACCGGTTGGAGTATGAAAGTGATGGAATCACATGAATAGCTGTTAATTACTGTTGAAACCTTGCCATGATTTCTTCCATCCTTGGACATCCTTCTTAACAATTATTTATTATTTGTACAGGCTAGACTAGGTGGGGAAGATATAGGCTACAGTTTTAGGAGAGATCTCAAACTCATTAGTGAAGTCCAAGCACCATTCCGTGGGATTAGGAGATTCTTTTATTTAGCATTCTCGGCAGCTGCAGGAATCTCAACGTTCTTTACTGTACCCAGGCTGTTCCGTGCAATTTCAGGAGGTGATGATGCTCCTGATCTCTGGGAAACTGCTGGCAATGTCGCTATTAACATTGGAGGTAACATCTAGTGCTTTTACTTGCATATAAAAAGTATGGTTTTTCCCCTCTTTTTTGGTACAAACGTACTGAGTTAATCCATATATAGTGCCTGTGATGAGATAACCTTGTTATAAAGAATAATCCTACATCGGTCTTTTTGGGTTGGATGTTCATTGACAGTTATATCTTCTTTCAATTGCTTGGGAAACTAAAGAATTGAGTACGATATTGACTGAACTTTTGTTTTGTGACCTGCTTTTTAACTTGACTAAGCTTTTGAATCAGTAATCTACAGGTCTTATTGTTCTTGTGGCGTTATTTTTATGGGAAAACAAGAAGGAGGAGGAACAACTTACACAAATATCTCGTGATGAAAATCTATCGAGGTTGCCATTGCGCCTCTCCACCAATAGGATTGTTGAACTTGTGCAGTTGCGAGACACTGTTAGGCCTGTGAGTACCAATGCTTACTTTTTTCCAATTTCTGGAATATGTCTATGTTGGTTGTACGTTGGTGCAGTGCATTTTGTTCTCTACATCTGTTTTCTGTTTTCATTATCTGGAATATGTCAGTGATTAGATAAAGTCTATGATTTAGGTTATTTTAGCAGGGAAGAAGGAGACTGTTTCCTTAAGCATCAAGCAGGCAGCAAGGTTTCGAACTGAGCTCCTAAGAAGGGGTGTTCTTTTAGTTCCTGTCATCTGGGATGAAGTTAGGGCACCTCAAATAGAGAAGAAAGGCTTCGGTGCACCTTCAAAGGCAGCTGCGGCTCTTCCTTCCATTGGGGTAAGATGCGGAGTCTCCCATCTATAGTTTGCTTGCAAGCATCATCCTTCTAGAACTAGGTGAATTTCCTAAACAAGCTTTAGATTTCAATAGTTTACTTCATTCTTCACACAATCTAATGGCTCCATGGTAGGAAGAATTCGAAAAACGAACTCAGTCTATAACTGCAAAGTCAAAGTTAAAAGCTGAAATTCGGTTCAAGGCTGAGGTTGTATCCCCTTCAGAATGGGAAAGGTTACATGCTACTCTATACTGCCTCCACACTTGCTTCACCACCAATTTATTATTCTAAATGACAAATTGTTTCATGTTTATTTGCATTATTTGGTTCTGTATGGCTAAAGATTTCATAATGCTTGTTTAGGTGGATAAGGGATCAGCAAAAGTCTGAAGGAGTCACTCCTGGTGAGGATGTCTATATTATACTGCGCCTAGATGGTCGGGTTCGAAGGTCAGGCAAAGTAAGTGCATGTATGGCTATTCAAGTTCAGGATTTGAGTTTCTGACCCCCTACTGCCGTCATTCAGGATTTCCTGCATTTCATTTCAAATAATATTTACCCCAAAACGGAGTTCTTTTCCATTCTGTGCCCATACACTAAACGTTTAAACTGGTTTGACTTAAAAGGAAAACTTAAATTCCGAATGTCTTCGTCTCCTTTTCCTTTTTCATTTTTGTTGTTTTTGGAGTAGAATACATCTGTAATACTCCCATGTCTTTGCAGGGCATGCCTGACTGGCAACAAATTGTCAAGGAGCTGCCACCAATAGAAGCATTGCTTAGCAAACTAGAAAGATAGGAGCCACCTCTTCTTGTAGATGCCTCTGTGAGGCAATCATCTTATTCTTACACTTCCCCTCCCCCAATTTCTAATATTTTCTTGGAATTGAATACATCTGTAATATCCTCAGCATCTTGAATTTTGAAAGGCGGTGGAAATAAATCTTGATATTTGTTATAATATATATATACATACAATGCAGTCTCTTGCTATACTCTTTAGATATATTTTTTTATTCAAAGCATACAACCGTGCGGCTATACTATTTAAAATTTTATTTATTTAAAGAGTACCGCCACGCGGCTATACTCCGTAAATATATTTTTTTTATTCAAGGGTGCGTCTATACGATTTAATTTTTTTTTATTTAAACAGTACAGCCGGGCGGCTATACTCTGAAAATGTATTTTTTATTCAAGCGCCGTTCGGCTATACTATTTGAATATTTTTTTATTTAAAGAGTATAGCCGATCGGCTATTCTCTGTAAATATATTTTTTAATTCAAGGCGTACAGCCGTGCGGCTATACTGTTTAAATATTTTTTTTTCAGGCGTACAGCCGCTCGTCTATACTCTTTAAATATAATTATTTATTCAAGGAGTACAGGCGTCCGGCTATACTATTTAAATTTTTTTAATTTATAGAGTATAGTCGGTCGGCGATATGCTGTAAATATATTGTTTAAGCCGTGCGGCTATACGATTTAAATATATTTGTTTATTCAAGGAGTACAGCCGCTCGGCTATACGTTTTATTTATTTAAAGGCTATACTCTTTATACAATTTCTAATATTTCCTTGGAGTTGAATATTGTAATATCCTCAACATCTTGAATTTTGAAAGGCGGTGGAAATAAATTTTGATATTTGTTATAATATTTATACAATGCAGTTTCTTGGTTTCTGTTTTTATTTTTTGGGTGTGGTTGAGCATTTTATTCTCACTAACTCTCTTCCCCGCCCTTCCATGAACTTAAAGAAAAGAAAAAAAAGAGACTCGTGCCCCAAACCATCATGCAATTCCTTTTCTTTTCTCACCCCCAACTGTCCAATTGGGTTATTATATAGAATTTAGAAAAGCTGTTGTTTTCAAAAAGAATAGTCTATATATACATATAGATGAAGCCTGAAGTCTAAATTTAAAGTCGGCTTAAGTGTTTCCAAGTTGTTGTAAGTGCTGGTTGTCACGAATTCAAAAACAATATCAATGTCAACGATTGGAATAAATTATATATATATTTTCATGAGTCTACCGTCTACTTGTACTCTGTTTGTTGATATAAACGATTGCGTAAATCACAAAACTTGGATCTTTTCTTTCTACATTTTGTTTTTAATTTCACAAAGGCTAAAAGAAGATGGTTTGGATTTGACGTAATTAATCTAGCAGCATTATTTCCATTCCAGTAGTGGTTGATTTCCCTTTCATGGTAGGTTTTGAACAAGTCCCAGATTCATCCAATTTCAGCTTTCTTTGCAGCAATTACAACAAGTTTGAACTGGTGTGCCGAGGGTCAATAGAGTAATTAGCCTCGTTGAAGAAATCAGAATCCCATTCCATTAAATTAGTCTTTCGTTCCTTCTTAGGTTGGCTTTCTTCACTTGTTCTTATTATTATAAAACTGAGTCCAAGATTGAGACTCAACTACTTTAAAACTGGTTGGCAACCAAAACTACTCTATTTTCTTGTATAGGCCAAGACAGCAAAACAGACCAAAAACTATGCCCAATTCCTCTTCTATTTTTCTCTTCGCCTTTTACATGTTCACGGCAACTCTCATCATCTCCATTTGGACCGTCCATGCAGGCAGCAATCACGGGTTGACCTGGGTTCCGGGCAGAACCCGCTGCCAGGGTTCGATTGCGGAGTGCATGGCTGATGATGAATTTGACATGGACTCTGAGATCAACAGGCGGATACTGGCCACCTCACAATACATCAGCTATGGAGCTCTGCAGAGGAACACTGTGCCATGCTCTCGCAGAGGTGCGTCCTACTACAACTGCAAGCCAGGTGCAGAGAGTAACCCCTACAACCGTGGATGCAGTGCTATTGCTCGTTGCCGTAGCTGATCAAAAGTGTAGCCTATTTTACTATGTTTATGCCTTGGATTGTTGTGTATTGTAATGTTCATACTCTTGCTTTATCTTCTGTTTTTATCCCAACTTCAATACAGTACCAGACTTCAGATAAAAGAAAACACACAAGTTTCTCTCTGAAATGTTGAAAATTAGAAAGCGGATCGTCTCAGATTTTGCTTTACTTAAGCAGGCAATGTTTCTTGGTCAACCTTGTTCTTTAACTTAAGAATCTATCCTCCTAATGAACTTTTTGCTTTCTTCTTTCTTTATGTCTTCCCACTTTAATGCGTATGTCTAGTTAGAGCCAGAGTCGACCCCATCAAGGGCCTGTTAGTTGCAGAACCAAAAAGTGGGGAAAGGAAAGGAGTTGCAGGATCATGGTGCCAGGATTTTATGAAATATAAAGATGTTATTGAATGAAAATATTTTCTCAGCAAACAAACGCTCTCAGAAATTCATATTTAAAAATACATACAGCAGTGTATTGGTAAACGCTTTAGACAATTCTGATAACAAATCAGTCTTGAAACAGGGCTACTAGCTGCAAATACAATCAATTATCAAAAATCATGTCATATTCATGACTTTTGCCTAACATGGCCCATACAATTAAAATTTTGTTCGAAAGATAAATTAGCTACAGGAGCACATTGGAAGCTTATAATCTTCATAGTAACAACAGCTTTAATCGCTCAAGCACACATACAGAAACACAGACAAAGATGGCAAAAAGTTAAAAAACCTCGTCAAATGTTCACTTATGACTAATTTTATGCAGAACCTTCTTGTTCCTTCACTTCACCTGCCTCTGGCTTGGGCTGCTGCACAGGAGATGGAGAGCCCTCGATTCCCATCTCTGTTCTTAGGTCGTTGATGCTATGCTCCAAGTCATTTATGCGAGTTCCCATCTCGTCAAGTGAATCACAGTTAAGAAAACATAAAATAGATTTCATTTAAATAGATTTCATTTAAACCACTACAATGATATGACACAGACAGTAAGGTTTCAAACCCATTAAGGTCCAACATATCTGAACTACCAGCCAAAAGCAGAAAACATTGATACGCCTAGTTTGTAAAAACAGCTTCATATGGTGGCAGGCCAAACGACAATTTTAAGGCTTTCAATAAGCATACATAAACCAAATCATTTATATTAGCTTCATTTACGTTAGTTAGACAAATTAATAGGTGTACCTCCAGAAGGTATCTAATAAAATTGACGAAGAACCAAATTTGCGATTGTAAAGATTAAAGAAAATGGGGAAAGGATATTCTTTGTAACGATGGAGTCGGACATTGTTTGGAACCGAGATTGCTGCAGGAAGAAATTTTATTAGCAACAGTCAGTTATGTGACCAACATAAGCTCTAACTTTTAACTCACAACTCACCATCTGCTGAAGAAGGTTTTGCACCTGCAAAAAATAAATGCACAAAAATTATGACAAGAACACTACAGAAAACAAATATTACCAACACAAGATTCTTGTATAAATAATCCAATAATGTTAAAGTCCTACATTCTTCAACAACTATCATAACTCATAAGCTATGCCGACATTTATGATGTTGCGAGAATATCAAGGCACTCACAAAAGCAGACATGTCTGCGGTGCTTTGCTTTGAATCTTCTGAATCATGCCCATCCTGCCAAGATAAACATATCACAGTAAATCAGGCACTTGAAGTCCAGAGTGTTTGAAATGGTGGAACTAGCGACATGTCGTACTATCAATAAGGCATAAAACGACGCACAATTGAGCGAGTTGCAACAACCAGTGAGAAAGGCAAAACATTTCCGGTATAATTCAAAACATACAAAACAAAATCTTGGCATCCAAATTTGAAACTACATGCATCGCAATTTCAAATTTCAAAAATAGTAGAAACCATGGAGTTAGAACAAATCTAAAGACAGTAAACACACATTTTTTTAATGGAATCGGAGTTGAAATATTAGGAACCCTAGCGGCTTAATTGTGCGAAATTAAATGATTTATTTCGAAGAAAAAAATCAGAGAAAAAGAAAAACAAGAAAACTAGAATTGAGAAGAGATAAGATTGCCATTACCATCCTCTAAAAATTTCGGAAACGACCTTCTTGCTCCAACCTTCCGTACAGTAGCTCTACAAGGCTATTAGCTGATGCGTGGATGATTTTGGGTGCGGCGTGGCCTCTGGTTTATATTTCCGGTGCTGCGTTTTAAGGTCAAGTTACATATATACCCTTGTTTGGACAATAAATTAATATTTGTGCCACCCGACGCAAGGGGGTATGTTAGGGTCATTTTGTCATGGAACATATTTGAATTCAAAATTATATCTAAGAAGGCAAGAATGGGCACTTTAGTCAGAGCAGGAAAGTCGAAGAATTGATGTTGAAAAGAATAGCGCCACTGAAATTTCAAAATTTCATTATCCCAAAACCCTTTTCTTCTTAGAATTCTTTTTTATATTTTATTAAATAAGCCCAAGCAAATAGAACAAGGCTGAATGAGATACAAGGCCCAAGAGATAGGCCACGCACAACAATGAACAACCCAAAATTTTTCTATACTTGAATATGAGCGTTCAATTCAAAATTAACTATTAATTATGCATGGGATAAAGTATGTACCGATATCAAGTAGATGTTTTGATCTATATAAATTGCACTAATGGAAATGTGAAACAAGTAGATGTTTTTTTTGTGTGTAGATTATGCTTAACAGTAAACTCATATAAAACAGCTGAAGAATAGAAAATTTATAAAATTACAAAACAAACTTGTAAAGAAACAAACTCAGCACATGGTCTTGTTGTAATTCCCAAATACTTGATTAAGAAATTTTCAAAAGCTCAATAATAACAGAAAGGAAGTATGTAATTGTGCTTTTCCTAGCTATATATGTTAGAAAGAAAGCAAAGCAAAAATGGGAGTTCATTGCTAATATGTTTGAGCTCCCATCATCATCAAGCTATGGGGGAGGGAAAGGGGAACGGGGGACGGGGCTACTCAAAGTAAAAACTAGAACTAAGCAGCAGAAGGGGCACTTCTTCCTTCAACAATGTCACTGAGTGGTTCCGGGTCAACCAAAGTAGCAACAGCAGGAGCCGCCTTCACATCCAATGACTTGTCTTCGTAAATGTCCCACCATTTCTTCACCAGCAGTTTTATGTCTTCTCTTTCCATGTTCTCCTCCTCCCTTGTGTACCTCCATGGCTTTGATCCCTATAATAACATTAATTCATGTTTAATTAGTATTACTAATAATAATCCATCTTATGCATAATAATTTATTGGTTAATCCATTTATGATATCCAATCCAATTACTCACCGCAGCACAATAGTGAACAACTTGGAGTGCATCAAGCTTCACATTCTCAGGATGTCGCCATAGCATAGCCAAAACAAAGTTGTACTCGGAAGGGATAGGCTTATAGATATCCCTAAAGAACACGTTCAACAAGTCCTGGAACACAGAAAAGAATTAAATTCCCAAAACTATGATTATTAATTTATTAATGAAGAAAATATTAGCCATAATTAATTAATGAAGTACCTGCGCTCAGCAAATGGAGTGGGAGGAGTAGCTTGGACGGCATCCAAGAGGTCATTGTAGGTGGAGATTTTAGGCTCATACACAAACATGCCGGCGTTGAAGTAAGGCGGGGGTGGAGAGCCTAACTCAGCTGCTGCCCACTGAACCTTTTCCGGGCATCGTTGGCAATATCCAATCTTGTTCTGAGGGGTGTGGCTCCATGTTTTCTCACAGAAGCAGTCCATGACAGCGTACAAGAAACCATCTGGGAGCTCAAAAAGATGGTCAATATTCTCAAACACTTGTATGTCTCCGTCCAAATATATCATCTTGCTATACTCCACAAACTACGCAAAACACAATTGAAATATATGTAACCACACACAAAAGGATCCATGCATGCATGCAAGAAGATTATATTAGAATTAGCTAGGGTATATTTATCATAGAAAGTCTCCGGCAAGGATTTTATGCCAAATATATTAGTTAAAGACTTCTAATCTCAATCATTGGATCGCATTAGAAAAATATTACATGGATGACTGACATTATGAATCCTTAATTAATTCTTAACACAAATCCTTACTGGAGAAGCTCCCTCTGTATATGTTTATATATGGTAGATACCTTAAAAATCTGAAGCTTGGAGTAGTTGATGACATAATAAGCCCTGGCAAACTGGGTTTGGTGGTTCTCCGGCGGGTAGACAGGCTTGATCTCCCGGACAATACAGCCTTGGGATTCAGAATGTCCCTGTGGTCCTGGGGAACATCAGGAAGCACCGCCACGACAAGTGGGTATTGGGACTTGGCCTTTCTTAAGCCCTTAGCCAAACCCACAACTCCCTTCACATAGTCTTTGTTGCCTGCCAAGAAGGTGACATAGGCTTTGCTCACGGGGTCCATAAGATTTGATTAGCAAATGACGAGACCAAGAACAATACAAGAAAAAAATCAACACAAAGAAGAAAGATGGGGGGTGGAGGGTTTTGGAGAAGGGTTTCTGGGTCTTTATATAAGATTTTGGAAGGAAATCTATTGATAAGACTTGTATCTCATGAAAGATCTTGATTATATTGCCATTTTTACGTAGAATGCGAATAATTATTTGTTGATTATATAGCACTCATTTGATCAGAAGGGGTGATCAGTTCTAAATGGAAATTAATTTATTGTAAACCGAAATGAGAGATGAATTATCATGAAATTAGCCCAATAAAAAGGGTCATAAATAAAACGTTGCGTCGGTCTCAAGAAAATTTAAAATTATCCATTTGTCCAAGATTCGAAAGCAACTTCGATCAAGAGTACTAATTGCTTCCTCCGATTCTTATGCTCATTTTCTACGCGATTGATTAATATATTAGATTATTATAAATAAACCCAATTCTAGGCATGTATTTATAAAAAAACCCACACACTATTTAAACATAGAAACACACCCAAAATCAACAATTGTATATTTTTTGAGTGTGTTTATAAATGGATTTTGAGTGTGTGTAATGATGAAACCCCCTTAATATATTGCAATCTATTTTGTGAGACTCAATCTAGTAACAACATTGTTTTCGGGTTTCAGATTTTATATATATTTTGAAAAAATAATAATAATAAAATTGAAAGCATTACGTTGACTCCCAAACATTCCCTTTCCGGCATGAGTATTCATTCCTCAAATGTCAATGAACAAAAGAATATTCCATTTTATAAATTATTTATGTACTCTTGGGTCGCAAGTATACAGATTCAGAATATTCTACGTATATTCATTTTATGGATTCCGAAAAAATTAAGGAGAAAAAGAATAGAGAGAGAGACAGAGAGGATTGGGGGCTCGAAAAAGGGCAAATACTTCCTTATTCCCATTTCATTGTCCCTTGGGAAGGTTTTTTTGGTAGAAAAGAAGCTCGGGACGTAATCAAAATCACCAATTGATCCGTTGGGAGATATTCACTGATTTCTCGATGATCAGACTCAATTAACATCCACCATCTTGCTTGATCATCGTCCTCAGCCTCAGCCTTAGTCGTTTATCAATTAACTTCTTTATTACGAAATATAGTTGACCGCTTTTAGATTCCGAAAAATTATAAGCTAGAAAAGACATAGTGAAATGGATGTCTTCTAATATCACCAGTTGTATAATTGTATGGCCTAGCAAACATGACAGACGATAACCAACTGATACACAATGATGGAACAACAATTGCAAGAACAGAACCAAAACCCTATGCTTCGTGGAGTACGGTACCAAGTTAAAACAACATAAGAAACAGATGCGTTGTTTATGAGGATACAACATTTTCGGTTCCTTCTATATTGTGAATTACCTACTATTGCATGTATAATTACAGCTATTTGGCTACCAGTCATGATTTATACAGAATATCATCCAGCAAAACTTACCAAGAGTAGAACTGATTGATGTATATGTTTTTGCGCAGTGTTTGGGGACTTCCAATCAAATTCATTTTTTAACACCTTCATTGTAATCTATTTGCCAGCTAGGTGTGCTCAATTTAAGGTATGTTAGATAAAGTTCTGGCAAACATAACTCAAAACAAATCTAAGCCACGACAATATATAAAGGTAACAAGATTTGTTGTGAGTTATGTTCTCAAGCCCTGCTTATGCTAATAATTGAAGATATGATACAAAAGACATGTATGGTAGGAGCTTACTTACCCAATACCCAAGAGAATAAAGCAAGCACTCCCTCCAGCCTCTAGAAATACAAAACGCATACCAGGCCAAACAGAGCATGAACTTCAGCTAAGTTTTCACCCTTATAATCCCATGTTCTCATTGTGACTCACACGCCGGTCGGAATAAACTACCAGTGAATCACTGACAAACCTCATCCCAAAATAACGAAGCCAATTTTGATCCATGTAATGGAAGATCCATGATACCTCCAGTTACATACATTCCAAGGTATGAGGTAAAGAATTTATACCAATCGATTACTAAGAAATTGAAATAACTACTACAGGTAGCAGAAAATGGAACGGCATTTAACAAAACAAGTATCAACCGGTAACCACTACTGGTTCAGCAAGCGTCAAACTTAATTACACATCTGAAGTGAGATCTAATTCAAGCATTGCACATACCCAATTAGAATTCAAATACCAATGCATTGGTGACCAACAAAATGAGGATTGGGTTTCAGAAATCTCTTGACTATACACATGGTGAAATAACACCCATAGACCACAAATCCCATATCTTCCAAGCAACAGCTGACAACTGAACTCTCAGCTGTTGCTTGGAAGACTTGTAATGCTCGGACAATCTTATAGCCACAAACTGAACTGTCAGCTGTCACGACCTGATCAGCATAACCAGTATGTACAATAATAGTAACTCGAGCCAATCCATGATGCAGCTTAAGATTACTAAACTCCATGGCTTATACAGTTATAATACACAAACACAAGTCTGAACTGGTTTCCAGACATCGTGAAAATTAAAAATGTAATGTCTACCCAGAAGCTACAAAATTGAACAGCAAACAATAAATAATCTCTCTGATTTTAATTTGGGAAGTAATACAAATTTATAAGGAACAAAAGAATACTATCTCCACACCTAACACGAAATATTAGGCACAACATACACATCGTAACACATCCTACATCATCCAAAAACATGAGGTGAACATGGGCTGAACTAGGAAGACGATACCTTAACAGCCTTAAATTCTGGATGAAGCAATCCAAGTTCATCTTTAACCTCAAGTGGATTGCTTGTTTCATTACGAACTCTCTTAACTCTCCTACTACCCAATGAGCTGTGTGTGAATCCATAGATTTGAAGAATCTGATTGTCCCCGAAGTTAAAAGCTCTATCCATCTGCTTCAAGCATCTCTCAACTGGGTAATCTCCAAACTTTCCACATGGCTTGCAACCAACAAAATGTGTCACTAGCGGCCACCTGTGGTCACCCAAACCAGGATGATAATTCTCAATCATTTCCTCATATCTATCAACCAAAATCCCCCAATAACCATGCAAATAATATGCACTCTCCAGATAAACCTTATCACCCCACTTCTCTCTTTGAGTGGCCAATATATAAACCATGGCTGACTGATCATCAGCTTCGAATACTGGCCTATCCTTGAGCTCCCTAGTGAGTATCTTCCCAGCCTCATCCCTAATTTTCCCTTTAGGTCCCATAGGAGCCCAAGTATCAAGCATATCTAATGACCACTGGGTATTCCTTAACAAGAAGCTCCCGGTATTGAGCCCAATCCAATTCTTTTGATCATAAACCATCTCATTCCATCCATGCATTACAAAGTCATAATCTTTGTACCTCTCCCAGGGTACTTCAAAAGCCATATCTGTAAACATGGCATCACTATCCATCCACCATAGAAACTCAACCTCCGGGTGAGACAAAAGGAGCTTCCGAATCAACGGAAGCTTGGCCCAAAAACCAGCCATTTCAGCATCCAAAAGGGCCATATTGTAAAAAACCTCAATCCCATGCAACCTACAATAATCGATTTTGTTCTTAATCGACTTCAACAAGTAATGGTCACCTACCGGGTTCTCACAGGGTTTTGGCGACGACCCAGTTACCAGAAGCACTCTAGGCTTATTGGGTCCGATGAAATTTGGGAAATTAGGGTTTTCCTTAAGCCATTTCGATCTCTGCTCGTCCCAATATGAAATCTTGGGTCCAAGAGTGTAGGGCTTATTGGGGTCGGGTCTGTCTTCCTCTCCTTCGTCGACCAAGATCTTGTTGATATCGAAGGCATTGTAGTTGTTGGGATCGGCAGGCGTTGACTGGACCTCCTCAAGGACGCGGTGAGGCTCTGCTCGCTTGCGAGAGTAGAAGTGATCACGAATCTCGATGAAATCTTGCTCCGGAGTTCCAAACTTGCCGGCTCCGATTGTGCCACGTAGGACGACAACAGTGAGGACGAGACACAGGATTGTGACCTTGCCATGGCGGAGAGCTCTATGGATCCTTCGCGTTCTTTGAGCTCCTAAACATTTCTCTAATATCATAATTGGCAATTGAACGTGAACCTCAATTGAACAAACAGAGCAAAAGGCAGATAAATCAGGATTTCGGATTTGGTGGGTGGGAGTAGGACTGGAAACCCCAGGATCCAGACACAACTGCAAGCTAATGTCTGAATTTTGGATTCTGTTAAATGTTAACTAAACGCGTTTGTTAAATGTTTCTGGTTTGGGCCTTTGGAGTGTGGACCCGACTGAGGCCACTACGATCTCTTATATGAAACGAATGATAGTCCAAATTGCCAACTAGTCTAGTGCTATCGAAAATAGTCTTAACTTAACTTGCAAACTCTTAGGTTCTAAATTAATCTAATTTATGTGAAGGAAGCTTCAAACCAATTAATCTAATGTACAGTACGGGGAGAAAAATGCGAACTTCAGTGCAAAGGGAACATGCTCACTACTCGAACTTGGAACATACTCACTACCCGAACTTGAGTGCAATACCAACTAGTTTAACCCACATATGCTATTATGGTCTATTTTAAAGGCAAAAGTAATACATGGGAAAATCACCTGACATGTTTTTTTTTTTTGGGTTGTTGCCAAAGTTGGGAAATGAGAGGGGGAAAACTCACACACGGATACCATGGGAGCTTTTACCCAATACACTTGAAAGCACACCAAAGATCTAGGTCAATCCAACTAACACCACATTAGTAATCACATCACAAGTATACTTTGCAGTAAATAATTATGCTGAACAACAAAGTAAATGATAACAGTGATGTAATGAGATCTTCCAATAAAGTAGACCATAGGTTCCATCTCATTTTGCGTACACTTTTTAGCGGCACTATGAACTTCACAAGTTCATCTAAATTACAAGTTTTAGATCAAATGAGTGAAACAAAGTTTGACCGCTTCTACATTCCGAAAAATTATAAGCTAGAAAACATTGAAAGATGGATCATCAATCAACTCAGAATGATTGCGACGTGTAGATTTCTGACCCAGTGTAGATTTAGGGAAAGAAGACTACTCCAATTGTATAGTTGTATGGCCTAGCCACTATGACAAACGATAACGAACTGATACACAATAATGGAACAACAATTGCAAGAAAAGAAACAAAACCCTATGCTTTTGTAGAGTGCCAAGTTAAAACAACAGAAGAAAAAGAAGCTAGACTATCATCGTCTGTATAAGCGCTGTTTCTGAATACAGCATCATTTGCCTTTGTCTTCAATCAATGCTTTGTTGTCCACATAAGGATATTCAGGTGGGGCAGACCATAGACCAACCAGTATTACTAAGTGGAGGCAAAGAAGCAATGCCGATGAGTAAAGGCTTGAAGGATACACATTCCAGCAGAACTCAACCCCGATAAACAACATTACACTGCCCCAAACAACATTTAATCAACAAATGACCATTCTCAAAGTAAATCATGCAACAATCATTGCAAGCTATGTAGCTCATTATTCAAGGATAGAGCAGCCTACCGTAGTAATGTAGGAAAAGGTGTTTTCCACAACAGATAAGGTAAGCTATGGAAATACCTGCACTCAGACACATTATGATCTTTGAGCCCTATAAACAAAATGAATCCATATATGTAATAAACCACACGATATCATCCAGTGAAACTTACCAAGAGTAGAACTGATAATGCAATGATCGAGCACATAGGATGCCGATGAAATTCCCGACAAACATCGTTGTCACAATATCTGAAATCACCGTGCCCAAGTTAGTATCAGTTAAAAAGGACAAGTAGGAAGGCAAAAAGTTTATTACGGAGCCTGCAACTTACATTCTTTTCTAAGAACCTTGATGGATGAATGGCTATTGTAGGACTTCTTCAAAGAGAATGAACTTGTAAGAGCAAGTTTGAGTTTTATAGGATCAAGTCTAGAGTACAAAAATTTGAAAAGTCCACCTTCATGCCTGCACGTGACCATTACCACAACATATTCAGCAAAAAGACATAAATATGTGGCCATCTCTAAGTACACCACTTGTCAAGACAGTAGAGAGTTGCATGTTATTGTAGACAAGAGCCTAGCTTAGTTCCCACTTGTGAGTTGAGTGGTACAGCATAGGAGGTTGTGATACTCACATGTAGAAATATGTCAAGGGCAGAAGAAATGTTTTCTTCGTAATTTTAATTTTATAACTTCCCAACAAAACTTTTAGCTTGTGGATAAAAATAGGATGATCCTCACACCTTATGTCCACATTTTCCATGCCACTTCCCATTATGACTTATAAAGAAGAAGATGAGCACTTTTACTTACATGCACCATCTATAATGAGCAAAAGCTGTAAGTAAACCAAGGTGCGCAATCAGCAAAGAGATTGCAAATGCCTTCGAAACAAATATTGCCTCAGGAACGAACTTGAAATTGACAGACCTGAAAAATAGACTGCATGTTATTTTTCAACAAAAGAGTAGACGAAATAATGAAGAAAAGAAATTTCAAATGAATAGTAGACTGCATGTATTTCTAAATGTGCTAAAAAAAATTAGAATGGAAAAGGTCCTCTTAAATATCTTTAATTATAAGGTCAAAGAATGTACCAGAAGTGGATAAAGACACGCCCAAGATTAAACGCTCTTGAGATGTATGCAAATGGATGAGACATGATGAAAGGTATTCCCAAAAGTATCTGCAGAACCATTCAGCAAGTAGCTGTCAACAAATGAACACCATAACTGGACTTGCTCTTGAAATGAGGATCTTGAAGTCTAGCTCACCTAAAAACGTTGGAATAAAACACAAACATTCAACTTCCGCATTATCAGAGTTGCTTACTCTGTGAATTCTAAAAATGAAAAAATAAACATAATAGAATGTAAATCAAGGCTGCAAGGCTGAATATAATGGAAACTTTTTTCACGCCTATGCAGGCATTAGTCTGTTGAAAACAAAAGGGAAGACATAAGCACCTGGACCAGTGCTGCACCAGATAAAGCTGATATCACTCCACCTATATTCATAGCCTGTAAAAGATGTGTTGCTATCTGAGAAATTTTAACAAATAACTCGAGCCAAATTTAAAGAAATATAGTTTTACACAAATTAATATTACCTTAAACATAAGGAGTAGTAGAGGTGGAGCATAGAGGAGCACATTCATCTTAACCGAAACAGCTCCACTTTGACAGATCACAAAAGGCAAAGTTAAACAATTATCATTTACCTTGACAAAAGTTCATCAAGGATGTAAGAATGCTACCTGAAAATGATCAGCCCTAGATGCCACCTTTGGTGAAGAAGTGAGACCAACGAAGCATGCAGGAGCATCACGGCCAAACAGTCATTAAAAAGACGGAGCACAAAAATAGAATGCATTCTTTTTGATAAGCAAAGCAAGCTCATAGCCCACCACGGAACCTGCACAACAATTAAAGAACATTGGAAAACAAAATCAGAGCTGAGACATATGGGACAATTACAGTTTGACACAAAGTTATCAGCTGAGTAAACAATCAGCAGTTATCCACAAAATCAGACAACATTTATTTGAAAACTGAAAAATGCACGTAAAATGAGTAATTCAATTTTGTCATACCACATCTGTCTTCCCATAGATGAATAATAGGATTCCCAAGTTTATAATGTACAAAACCCCGAACAAAATCTGCAAAATGAAATAGAATAGAAACCATGAGATTAAAAATTATGGGTAAACCATAAAAGAAAAACATCGATAATAAAATTCGTAATCCGAAATAGAATAGATTACCTGAGCTGGATAAACTTCGCCTCCTGTAACATACTGAATAGCAGAATAAAAGTATAGGAAACCAGCAGGATAGACCAGTGGCCCTGTGTCGCCTTTTAAGTTACTGTAATCTCTTTCTCCATCAAGAAACCCACTAACCTGTCAATTGACTATTGTTATTTTCTTGGCAGATTTCTAAGGAACCAAACAGAGAAGAGTAAAAAAAAAAGAGATTGAGGAAGATCACCCACTTGTGACATGTAAGCGTCCCAATCTATCTTCGTATCTGAAAACAAACACTTATGCTATGACCAATCATACATACATACATACATACATACATATGTGTATTTGGGTGCGTGAGGGACAAAAAATCTTACAAGGGACATATGCAATGATGAGGGCGACGAGGACCGCATCGCAGAGGAGCAAAGCGAAAGCGAAAGCTACCTTAGGGTTTTTGAATAGCTTGATATTTGAAGCCTTAGAACTCCGCTTCTGCGAGGGATTCACCCGCCTCGCCGATTTGACCGCCATGGTTGAATCGTCCTTGGACCTGGAGCTACTGGAGCTCGAGACTTCGGTCAGTGGTCATCAACGTGCAAAAGCCAAAAGAAGGCCTAACCGTCAGATTTGAATACTAAGCACGATCTGACCTTGCTGAGAATCGGACCAGTTATTGGTGAACAAAATCTCAGGCCCAATCAAACCAACAACACAAGAGTTCTGACTTGGGTGGCTCGAAAGTTAAATAAACCCAGAAGGTTAAGCCCAGTATAGCCCATTGTGGGGACTAGGATGTAGATTCACTAGTTTTTTTAATTTTTTTTTAATTTTATGGTGAGTGAAAATATTTTTTTTTTGGTTCAAATGGTGAGTGAAAATATGACCAACGAAAAAAGATGTGAGCTCGATATACATTTTTTGGTCTAAACCATGAGGTGGTCCTGGATGGGCCCCAATTATGGGTGGCACCTTTAAGCCTTAACCACAACCCAGACTAATCCCCACTCACACTGGGTCGGCCCATAAGGGATAAAGTGTTGGCCCAAGTGGGAGCTCGATATACATTGATTGTTACTCTTTCCATGATAGCTTAAGTTTTCGGTCTAGCAGTGATTTTCACATGTATGTCTTTTTTGTTTTTTTTGACAAAGTGATATTTTAAACTACTCTAACGTACAGGAAGAGAGATCGAACTCGAATGCAATGGGGCGTATTATACACTATTTTAACCAACTAATCTACCCCAAATTTGCGGTGTACGCATTATTTTGTCCTACACCGTGAATAATAGGATTTCACACATGAGAGGATGTCGATTTTATACATTATTGGAGCCCTTAAACTTTTGAATACTAGTGGTTGTTTAACTGTGCAAATCACAATTTTATTTTTACTTTTACTTAGCCAAGAATGCGAACGTGTTTGTTCCATGTACTCCAAATAGCGGGCTACGCTGTGGGGAGATTTGAGGTGGAGGAGAGAGAGAGTGAGTCAGTTGAGTTGAGTTGAGTTGTGTTGTGTTTTGGATGAATACGAGTTGGACAAGAGTCATCTTCCCTCGCAATCTTATCCCGTGTGTGAGTCACCGTGACAAACCGACATGGTGGTTTTGGTTCCAATTCTCTAATCCAAGCCACGTGGTGGTTGCACTCAGCTTCAACATCCACAGCAGCACACAGCAACTAGCCAAATGTAAAACACCAACCAAAACCATTGGAGCAATGCTGCTGCATGCCCGTGCTTGCTACCATATCAACAATCTCCCTCACCCACGTGTATGTATTCCACCAGCCATCCACTACTTGCCTCCTCCTCCGCCCACCTGTCTCTCCATTTTCCTACTTTCTCAAACTAATTTAGCCCCTTAAACTCGCTCTCCTCTATATTACCCCCACCTGAAATTCCTCCAACAGAAACCATACACAGAACAAACACACACATACTCTCCCTCTCTCTCTCTCTCTCTCTCTCTCTCTCTCTCTCTCTCTCTCTCTCAAATATGGATTCCAAGAACCTCAACCAACGCAGAACAGACGATCCCGACACCGCTGCCACCGCCACCACCATGAACAAGAGCAACTACAAAAGCAAAAAGGATATGAGAATGGACATGGCCAAACGCGGCCTTAGGTCATTGGCCATGGCGGTTGCAATCCCTGTCTCTCTCAACCTGCTTGCTATTTACTTGGGCTCCACCGACAACTACCCCACCGGCTCCTCCAAGCCCTTCTGGTTCCCGCCCTTGTGGGCCCTGCGCTTCATTTGCATGGCTTCCAGTTTCTTGATGGGTCTCTCGGCTTGGCTTGTGTGGGCTGACGGTGGCTTCCACAAGAATCCCACGGCTCTGCCTCTTTATCTGGCCCAGCTAGGATTGAATTTGATTTGGGATCCGATTGTGTTCGGGGCAGGAGCGCCTTGGGTCGGGTTGCTGGTGTCCATGGGGATGTTTGGGACTATGGTTGCCTGTACTCGGGTGTTCAAGAATATCAATCCAGTTGCAGGTGATCTGATGAAGCCCACTTTGGCATGGGTTGCCTTTTTGGCCATTGTAAATCTTAAGCTCGTGTTCCATTGAAATTTTCATGTACAAAGCTTTAGTATCTTGACACATACAGTGTTGTTGTGTAAACATTTGTCAATATGATGATTATGAGCTTAATGTGTACCTTTCTTCTAGACTTAGGCCCGTTTGGGATTGTTTTCTCCACCAGAAATCTTTAAAATCACAACACATATATACTTTGCAGTAATTAATTATACAAAACAACAAAGTAAATTATAATAGTGATGTAATGAGATCTTCTGATAAGATAGACCATAGGGTCCATCTCATTTTGCATACACTTTTAATGGCTCTATGAACTTCACCAGTTCATCAAAATTGCAAAATTGAGATCAAATCATTATGCAATAAGCTTCTTGCTCAATCCTACAGGAAAGGCAACCTTGTAAGTCCATCCAAGCTGAAACTGACACTAAAAATTAGACACCAATGCTAAGTTACTCCCAGAAAGGATTCATCTTGGCCACTGGAATCTTGGATAATCTGCTTCCCTCAGCATCATTTCCAAATTGGCTCCATTTGCAAATCACAGAGATTAGAGAGTCACAGTGAAACCTACCAATACTAAGTGCTTTCCCAGTGCAATCTGATCCTCAATTTCAATCCAGCAGACGCATTTTCACCCACAAATGTGACAGAGGTGCTACATAGGAACCAGGTGTCCTCCACATTGATCGAAGTTCCAAGTCCTACCACTAACGTATTTGCTGACCAAAAGGAATTGGAAAAAAGTAAATATTCTGCTGGTTATTAATGACCTACTCAACTTGGCAAAGCTTCCTCAGGGTTATGGAGATTCTCCTCTTTTGATTTAGTTCCTCCCCTTCCCACTTCTGAAATCCAGGCATGCGGTTAATCTCGTGCTTCCAAAGGTACCTTGCTTCTCCTGACATAAAAATTAGGGATCCCGGGGTAAGATAAACAGGAATCTTGGCCAGAGGCGGATCCTTTTCACCATCCATTAAAAAGCCCCTGCTTGTTCCATCAACTGGACTGAAATGCATCACGCATGATGACTCCAGGGAGAGAATGGCAATTCCATCTTCAAATCGCATAAGGTCAATGTGTGCACAGATCCCCTGCACAAAAATGCCGGGAAGAGGGGTGATGTTCATTATGAAACAGTATATCAAATGCACATAGTTGGTGGTAAAACAAATGGTTGAAACTTTAATTATTTTGGAGAATACAGTATTATGAAGACACAAAGCAATGTTTACTTCAATATTTTAGATAGAAATCAACATCTGGGGCTAAAAAAAGAAATTTATCATGCCATAAATCTCATACCTCACCTGGTTGGTAAGAATTTAGAATTAGTTGGTCGAAGAGTGGCTCTCTGCAGAAAAGAGTTGATGGAAATGAACATGCATTCTCGTTCACGTTATCAGTATTTCCCAATACTATAGGTTCAAGAACAAAGTCACTCGCAAGTAGAACCTTGCGAATAGAATGTGAAAGCTCAGCTGCCCATGATGGAAGGTCTCCAAATCTCATAGCCTACAGGGAAAGGAAATTCGTTCAGTTGGCTAGTGGGATGGATGATATTCAGTTGGCTTATGCATGCATCACTCGTTCTCTTCAATACAGGTGATCAGCAAATTTGACAACCAAACTAGTATCAGCAAATCCATACCAAAAACAGAGGACAAAGCTTATATTCCTTGTCATCTATCTCAACTTTTTATTTGATTAAGCAGTTAGCATACATTTCATATACAGTTTGCCAAATGGGGTGGTAATTGAAATGCTTTTCATATACAGGCTAACCAGATTTCGCATATCAAAATCCCATCTTCCCCATTTAATTTTATGCATTTCAATAAAGAAATGCACCATGCCAATCCATAATTTGCATCCTAATATGTGTATGCATATGGGATTATGCGCACCTGATTGTGAGAGGCTTGAGTGAACCATCCTTCTTCTGCAACCACAAGTTAATAAAAGCCACTACATAAGAGATTATTGCAGACAACACCAACAAGCATACATATTTAGTTCACACCCAAGCTACTTTACTTCACTAAACAAGTTAAACGAATCTTGAAAATTGAAAAGAGACTATGAGTGAGAAGAAGACGCACCGTTTTGGATTGTGGAGAGCAAGGAAGACTGGCGTTGAGGAGGGAGGAAGTCTCTGCACAACCACAACCCTTTGATTTCTTTGATTGGTTCCCAGCAATGGCTTGGGTCAGATCCATCTCCCAATTCCAAGTCCTCGCCGTCCGATGAGTCGCCGAACACTTGCCTCAGAATTTCCTCGTTGGTGGCATCCATTTCCTCCTCGTAATTTTGAGCAGGTAAAAGCCTAAAAACACCCAACCCCTCGCTTTAATAACAAAATGTCATTTTTTATCTCCGTAATTTACCAGTTTAATCACTTTGAAATTACCATAATTGAAAAACCACATAAATAAATATAAAAAATTGAAAAATCCAACAGAAGCAAAAATGACATTTTGCACCGTTGATCTTGACGACCGGTTTGTAAAAGAACAGCTCGTACGGTACGCAGCGTAGCGCAGTATCCTCAGCCTCGTCGTAGGTGATTACTGATTGGATGAATCAAACAGAAGCCTCGGCGATCGTGCCACGCCAAGTGGATTGCATTTGCATAGACTTTCGTGCCATGCACAGAACAGTTCACCCAGCACGTCGACACGTACCCGTTGCAGTGTCATCCTTAGATGTCCACGTGTCACCATCCTGTACGACGACCCCATGCTGCCCTCGCTTCATCTGAGCCGTCCATATATTCCTACCAAGTACCAACAGAGGAAGCCTTCCCCGGGAAATCCTCCCGTTGACACATTTGATCGTATCCACGGATTCCAGAAGCGCCACGTGGAAAAAATATCTCATCGTGACCGTAGATTTTCTTGGAGATTGTCGCCCAAGTTGGGCTCCCTATAAAGACGGAATAGTTGCAACGCTTCCTTTCGTCTTCCTCGTTTCAATTCAAAGAGTAATTCAGAAGGTTTTCTCTTGAAAAGGCATCAAAATTTTATATACAGAGCGAAATGGCGGATTCAGAAGCTAAGCAGCCAACAGAAACGGTAAACACTCTCTCTTCGTCTTTTGTATTTTCTTGTGTATGAGCTTCGTTCTGCTTGGTTTCAAAACGCTCCATTTTCCACTGAAAATCGATCAAGAAGTTGATTTTGTGTTTCGTTTTTTTAATACCGTATGTGGGATCTTGAACGAAGGTACAAGTGAATGAGAAAAGTTTCAAGTATATGGAGTTTGTTCAAGTGGCGGCGATTTACGTCGTGGTGTGCTTCTCGAGCCTCTACGAGTATGCAAAGGAGAACTCCGGTCCACTTAAACCGGGGGTTCAGACCGTGGAAGGCACCGTCAAAACCGTAATTGGACCGGTCTACGAGAAGTTCCACGACCTTCCCTTCCAGCTGCTCAAATTTGTCGATCGCAAGGTCAGTCTAATCTAGAAACGAAACCCTAGATTTTGCCGCCTGTTCATTTCTTGATCGTGATCACGTGCTTTGCAGGTGGACGAGTCCTTGGGCGAGTTGGACCGTCACGTGCCCTGTCTTGTGAAGCAGGCGTCGAGCCAAGCCCTATCGGTGGCTCAGAAGGCTCCGGAGGTGGCTCGAACTGTGGCTTCGGAAGTCCAGCGAGCTGGCTTGGTGGACACGGCTAGGAACCTCACGGTGAGCGTGTACGCTAAATACGAGCCGGTGGCTGAGCGGTATGCGGTGTCGGCTTGGCGCTCACTGAATGGCCTCCCGCTGTTTCCCCAAGTGACTCAGATAATGGTCCCTACGGTGGCTCACTGGTCGGCAAAGTACAATCAGGCGGTTGGTTACACGGCCGACAGAGGCTACTCCGTGGCGGCGTATCTGCCGTTGATTCCGACGGAGAGGATTGCCAAAGTGTTTGATGAAGCCGAAAATGGCCCTGCCGTTTCGACTAGTGGTGGAGCTGTTGCCATGGAGCAGTGACAACCGTTGATTTGGGTGTTCTTACGGGTTTACCCGTTTTCCTTGGTCTTGAATTGTAATTCAAGTGGTAACACTGTATGGGCCGCAAGAAAATTTTGGTTGGGTTTCGTTTAGCATAAATTTAGTTTTAGTTTTAGTTTTATATTTATTTTAACCGCGTTCTTTAACTAATAAATTTGGTTGAACTTAAGTTTAAGTGATTGAAAGCAGTTATCATAGAAAATAAATTTTGTTGAATTCTTCATTATTTATCTTTCTTGGAAAATTAACATAACATGCCATTCATTTCTTTTCCCTAAGCTGTAAAATGAATTTGTCGGCAGAAAAAGGATTCTTCATACCGATCTAATACAAGCAGTTCCAATCCAAGTTGTATTAAGCAGCAGAAATAATTTGAAATTCATATATAAGTTAACCCAACTGCAATTTACTTCCAGGAAAGAAACAACGAAATTCAAAACTTCTCTTCATGTTGAAATCACATAATCCTCGATCAGATTCATAACAGCAACATTTTATTGAACAAGTGAAACAATGGTAAAACTAAATTCCCTTCCCTCTAGGTGGTTCCATCTCATTTTTTAAACAATTCATCGCGCAATCTAGACTTCATCTGAAAGTGATAGCAAACTAGAGATCAAAACAAATTTAAGCAACATTCAACAAGATCATAACATTGACCTCATAAAAATAAAAACATCATCTAATGGAAGCATATGATGAGTAAATAAAACATAATCTAGTAGATTGAGTAATTCTCACTGGCTCTTGGCCAGATGGTGTTGCAGATGGCCCTAACAATCGGAAGAACGGCCACAAGCGCGATTTGAAGTTGTTCAGAGCTGCTTGTTCTAACAGAAATCTGTCCACTGAGCTTGTTGTTCACTCCTGCACGAACAGTCATCTTGTAGTTTCGCCCAAGGGAAAACTGGGACACAAGATTTACCATCAAGGCCAAGTCACCCCTAAACTTCACTAGAGACAGACCAACTGAGGATTGATCTTGGCCAATTGGATAATCTGCTTCCCTCAGCCGCACCTCCAAATTCGCTCCATGTACCGATTCGCCCTGCGATCGGACAGTCCCAGCAGTACCAACCAATATCACACGCTTGCCAAGTGCAATCTGATCCTCAACTTTGAGTCCAGTGGAGACACTTTCACCTAAAAATGTCACAGCTACTCCGGCACCTGTCTTGTTCCTCTTGAAAATTTTGAATTTGGTGTCTCCTCTGACAATGTATGCAAGTTGCTTTCCAATGTTTTGAATGTCAAAGCCTGCCATACTTGATCCGTTCTCCCCATGCTTAGCAGCAACTGAGGAATCCAAATGCATAGTGAAATCTTTCTTATCCTTAGTAAGCTGAACAGTAACAGCTGCTGGAAAAGAATTAGCAATGGCTAGACTTTGTTCAAGGTTGACACCATCATACCCACAGTCGTGGTCCCACCCTTGGGGATCCAGTACTGGCCTTGCCGAGAACTGAGAAGTTGGCTCCAACAAGCGGTACCTGTAAGCTGGATTTTCACTATCAAAAGAAGGTGGCAGAACCATATCAGGTAAAGGTACTGGAACAGCTGCTGGACCCCCATTTTCTGGATCTTCTTCACCCAGATAACCATAATCATCTGCACTAACCTTACCCTTCTTCTTCATTTCTTTCATTCTTCTCAACTCTTCTCTCCACATCTTTTTCTGGAGGAGCTTAACCCTATAATCGTACTCCTCAGTGTATGCCTTCCTCTGCTCTTTGCTAAGCTTAGCAATCTGAGCTTTCTTGAGAGGCTTGAATGATGGAAGCTGATCATACTCATCCTCTTCTTCCTCTTGATCAGAATCGGACAAGTCATCCAAGTCAATGTCTGAATCAGCATTCTCTTGATCAGCAGACAGCTTTGGATGGGGGCGAGGCTGCAACAGCCAATTCAACAAGTATGGAAGAGGAGGTGAACGGGAACGGAAACCAAAGAGCTTACGGTTATCAAATGATTCCTGAGGTTTTGAGAGATTAGTTGCCTCAGATAAAATCTTCATAGAGTAGCTTAAAAGCAATAGCTGGGGTCTCCAACTTTGCCCATTAGGGAGCACTTTCTGACCATCTCTATTCTTCCGACAAGAAGGGTGGTTCTCTACAAGACATATTGGACTCATCATACTTGGACTCATAAACCTTAGATCACCAACAGCTTGTCCAATGGTCTGCTGGAGGATCTGAGACCGCTGAGCAACAAACAACTCATAATTCAGAGGGGAACCTGATGGTCCATCAGGAGGAGCAGAAGCGCCATGGGTTAGAGTGACTATGGTACTTCTCCAAATTGAAGGACCAAAGGCACTAGTAATTGATCTCAATAATGGCACATCATTGAGATCCCTACTTTGGGTATCCAACCGATCCACATAGAGGACAATATCCGGGGGGCATTTTTTCGTGAACTTCTGTACAAAGGATAAGATTTTACGATTTACATTCTGTTCCATTGCAGCAGATTTAAGACCTGGTGTATCAAAAACCCTAATCTTGACTCCATCGACCACTCCAACAATTTCTTTGACAGTAGTTGTTGCAGGTCCAAATGCATAAATTGGGGTCTTTTCTTCACCAAAAATTGAATTTATAGTAGCACTCTTCCCAACACCCGTTTTCCCAAGAACCAGTATGTTCAAGGAGAAGTTCAAATCATCTTTTCCCTCTGCTTCAAGCTGGAGAGCTGTCATCTTCGCAGCATCAGGGTTAAATTCTCGACTGTTTTGCCTCCCTGAAAGAAGAGCTAGGCGGTATAGAACCTGCCTAGCTACTGAATCTTCTGTAGAAACACCTAATCTCTGAACAAGCCTCAAGAATTGAACCCTTATCTGTTGAAACTTTTCCAGTTTCGCTTTCTCTTCATCACTCAAGTTGTTCTCAGAATCTCCCCCAACTGTGACATTTGAAGATGTAAAGAGATTAGAATTGTTTGGTCGTGAAGCAGGTTTCAAAGAGCGGATTGAAGATCCTAAACCAGCAGGACGCTCAATGGAGAAAAGCCGGGATCCATCTGGGGTGGTAATTGTAACATTGCCACCATCTGAGGGAGCAGCTGTTGATGCTTTCAGAAGAGCTGCCAGTGAAGCAGCATCAAATAACTCTTTTCCACCCCCTTCCTCGTCAGTGTCCACTTCTTCATCCGAGTCTGTGACAATCTGGCCATCAATTCTCTGTGAATGATCATGATAACCAGAACCAGAACCTGAGTAAGAACCAGAACCTGATCCTCTTTCCAATTCTTCCAAGAATTGTTTAGCAGCTTCAGAGCTTCCAAAGATCATACCTTCGTTGTTACCATCTGCTATTGAACCTTCATTCTCCCCTTCATCATCTTGGAGATCCTTATCATCATCATCATCATCATCATCTTGAAGATCCTTATCATCATCTTCGGTTTCTACCTTTATCTCTCGGTCCAAAATGGAATTTGCATTCACCGATTCATTGCCACCTTCATCCGGGAAATGCTTCTTCTGAACTTCCTCTTCTAGCTTTATTTCTTGGTTAATGGAACTCGGTTCCACAAACTCAGGGGCCAGAGATTTTACAGAGACTGCGGCTTCCAATTCATCCACTTGATCATGTACACCAAAATTAGAATTATCTGGTTTTGCCTCATCCGCCGGTTCATGTTGTGCTAAATCAGAAACACAGTTCACAGTTTGGGTTTCAGCTCCATCCCCTACAAAAGGTTCGTCACCTGACACCACTTCTACTTCATCAGTACCTAGCTCTGTCGTGAGCCCTTTCTGTCTGGTTTCAGAATCAGATTTTAGTTCATCTTCTCTTTCTGGCCTCTTCTCGAAACCAACTTCATCAGCACCAGCAACAACATCTTTCTGCCCATGAACTTCCACATTCCCAGACTCAGCAACTGCCACTCTGTCAGACTCGGAATCCATAGCCACCAACTTTGAGTCATTTGGTTCGTCAGTTTCATGGCTAATTTTATCAAATCCATTATCCAAACTCACACCTTCGACTGGAACCTCCATGCCTTTCATTTCAGATTCCTCAATTGTCTCTACATCGCCAACGACAGCTGCCCCTGTCTGTGACAAGTTCACTTGTACAGCTTGCTCAATTGAGTCACCTTCACTGGTAAATTCCACACCATCCTTTTCAGCCAACTTATCATCAGCTAGTTCTACAAACAAAGAGTTCTCTTTCTCATCAACACCACCCAAAACTGTACTGTCTTCTTCAACCACTCCACCATTCTCTTTACTCTCTATTACAACTTCTGATGTGCCATTGAGTACATCGCCTTCCTTAGACTCTACAGCCTTCTTATTTTCTATTTCAGTCACCTCCAATTGCGTCTCCGGCACCGAACTTCCCTCAACCACAGAGCCTACACCCTCAACAAATTTCGAATTCTCAAACTCCTTATCTACTTCACCGCCTACCAAGGCATCAACAACATGCCCTTGGCCACCACTTACACCATTTTCTTTCAACAATTCACCAAAATTTGCATTCTTGCCCAAACTAGTATCCACCAAAATCTCACCGTTCGTTCCCAAGTTCTCCACAGAACTCTCACCCCCAACAGTCTTCAAATCCCTATCAGTAACAAAAGACTCCCTGACCACATCCTCAGCCCCCAAAACATCATATTTCGAATCCCCAGCATCATCCTCGCCATCATCATCATCCACCGAGACCTTGGCAATCGGCCTCTGGCTACTGGGATAGAAAAATTCCGAAGAATTGATAAACTTGACTGGGGAATCTTCTTCCCCTGCAATAGCTTTAACTACGGTTTCTTCATCTAAGCCTCTCACAAATGCCCTCTCGGAATCAAAATCCTCTTCCCCACTCACAAACCCCTCAGTCTCAGACCCACCATCACTACCATCACCACGCCCACCACTAAATTTCTCGTCATTATCTGTTTTCGAAACATGGGTTTTTGGTAAATCATCAATATCAGAATACTGTGAGGGAGAAGAAACGGAGGTTGGAGAGGAGAGGGAAGAACCTGATGAGTTTGTGAGGTGCTGAACCTCTTCTGAAGCAGAAAGCTTGAAGGCGTCCATGGAGGCTGTGACTGAGAGAAGAGAAAGAAAAGGGGTTTTGGGTTTGGTTTCGCTGCACTCTCAAGAGTGACGAAACGAGTGTTTGTTTCGGGATTGGGTTGTGAGGAAGAGTGAATGGAAGGGAGGGGAAAGGAAGGGACGGATAGTGGGGAGATAAGGTTTTAGAGTTGGGAAGGATACGGCCCCTCAGGTTGGGTTGGGTTGGCTTTTCCCAACTTCTTTGTTTCTTGTAGGGATGGTCTGGGCTGGGAGTTCCATTCGATGTTCATTCCCCTGCTAAAATTACGAAATAGTCCTTTCTCTAGATTTTTCTTTTTCCTTTCTTGTGTTTTTTTTTTTTTGCCAGATCTTTTTCCTTTCTTGTTACATCTTCCTTTTATTAGTTGCCAACTAATGAGAATTTTAAACCTAATTTTTCTGCCTTTCAAAATTGTAATAGTCTTGATGAGAAAGTATTGTATGGTAGTGTAGTATGAATATGTTGTATAACTCGTTCATGTGTTATATTATGAGTGGATGACGGAGTTGATATTTCTCATATTTAGAGTATGATATTAATAAGTATCCACTTATTATATAACACGCGACTGAATTATGTCATTTGGTCATACTACAATACCACACAACCAATATCGGATTTGAATGTCTATATTTCTAAATAGACTAAAAATGTTGAAAAATGATTAATTTATATTTACTACAATAAAATAATTGTATGTAGTAATTCAGACTTGTTTTTTTTTTTATAATGATTAAAAGCATTTTATGAGTATGAGGCTCGTTTGTGAGTGATTATGGATAGGCCAAAAAACCCTTCTATAGAGAATCATTTCTCTATATAATCACTATAAGGTTGTGATTCATGGAAAATGAGCCTTGGGGATGGGAAATCAATTGATTTCCCATATTTGGTAAGTTCATGCATGAGAAATGATTGTCTGGCACATGGGATATAAGAGAAATTTAACCCTCCTCCCATAAAAAAAAACCTTTGGGAAACAAGGTCATCATTGACTGCTGATTTTTCATGACCATTTTGTCCCCATTAACAATTTAGAATATAAATATAACATTAAATGCATTCTTTTTTTATTTGATTTCATATGAGTATAATTAGAAAATTAAACAAACTTTGTTTTACATTCATACGCAAACCAAACATAGGAAAGGAAATAAAGTGGTATTTCATGGTTACTTTCCCAAACAATACCAAACATGGAAAAGTAATCTTCCATTTGCTCCCTCTCAATCAAACGGGGCCTAACTGGTTATAAGTAATTTTATGGAGAAGCATATGAGATGTGCTTCTGCCCAAAATCACTTAAAGTGATTGTCGAGAAATAAATGCAGGGCTTGTTTGGGAGTATTCTTGAAGGGCCAAAAACTCTTTCTGATAACTAAAAGCTCTTCTAACAACGTTTGACAGAAAAGTTTAGAAGTGCTTACGGGTCATAGAAACGCTTCGTGGAGAAACACCTGCTATGTGTTTCTTTAGGAAGCACTCCAAAGTGCTTTTCCATGAAGCATTTCAATTTTTTATGAAATTTTATAATAAAAGCGCTTTTGTTAGAAAAGCTTATGAGCAGAACTATTTCCTAGAGAAGCAGTCCAAAACGAGCCCAGAAAGTGATTCTTCCCAAAAGTGATTATGAGCTCTTCTAACAATGTTTGGCAGAAAAGTTTAGAAGCTCTTACGGGTCATAGAAACGCTTCGTGGAGAAACACCTGCTATGTGTTTCTTTAGGAAGCACTCCAAAGTGCTTTTCCATGAAGCATTTCAATTTTTTATGAAATTTTATAATAAAAGCGCTTTTGTTAGAAAAGCTTATGAGCAGAACTACTTCCTAGAGAAGCAGTCCCAAACGAGCCCGGAAAGTGATTCTCCCAAAAAGTGATTATGGTATATCCAAAATCACTCACAAACGAGCCATAGGAGTACTTCTGACTAACAAAAAGACTCATGTCAATAACCATTTAAATTAGTGATTTATGTTAATTGCGTAAACCCTCTTCCATTGGTGGTGGTATTTCAACCCAAATATTATATTTGTCATGTTTAATAAAATGATTTTCGCACAAATAAAAATAAAGAAGGAAAAAAGTTGAAATTATCTTAAGATCAAACAGCCAAAAGAAAACAAGTAATTGTCAGGATTAGTGTTTTCCTTGTATCTGTCAATACTAGTTGGACTGCTCATTGTTTGTTTGCATTTGAAGGATAACGTTGTGGAATGAGGATTGGGTTGTTGTAGAGTCTGTTGGTTGTCTACGTTTTGTTGTTTTCTGGTCACTACGTGTTTCCGTTTGCTCCCTCTCATTCCTCATCGCCTCATCATCTACAATGGATGGCCCAAACTCTGTTAGCCTCCTCTCGGTTTACACATAATTCCACCTTCCGCACTCATCCAATGCTTAATTTCTACACCCAAGGATCATCCATCCTGCCAAACGTACAAACAAATATGTTTAGAGAAAGCCCTCTTCTTTTTTTTTTTCATACCTTAAAAAAATAAAAAAAATTAAGAATAACTTTAAGATACGGGCCATGACCAACAAAATTTGGTGCTGGCAAAAATTGGGTTGAGCATCAAATTGGTAGCCCACATGGGTTGAGTATGTACTGTACTGAAATAAGTAGGCTCAGCTAGGCCTTGATGGCCCTTTCACTGGCCTAAATTCTAATCTCATGAACCCAACCTCGCTTCCCAGAAAGAAACCAAATTTTTATTTTTCATTTTTGGCAAAAAATGGCAGGTTATTTGTTAATTGCGTTATGTTTATATAGTTTTCTATATTATGATAGTCTGATTATGGAAAGGATATGTCTATAATACGTCGATATCATTGCCGTCCCAAACAATAACGTTCGACTATATTATTGGTATAATGTCAATGCGTGTTTTTTCATTACACATTACAAACTTTTTCCCCATGTATTCATTTATCTAGCAAGTACAGTTTCGTAGTTGTGACATAAGATTTCTACAAGGCATCTACAAGTTTGCCCAAAACGAGTAAATAACATTGGCTATGTCCCTTTGTGGCAGCACCTGGAGCAGTAAGAAAATGGATATAATTTGAGGTGGCAGATGAGAATGATAATGGGGTTTTGCCAATGATTAGGTTAATAAAAACAAAAACCTATGCATGATTGAGTCTGCGTGATTCCTTCCTTGCCCACTTTTCGAAGGTGCATGTGATTGATCTTTTTCTAAGTCCAATAAACATACTTTATATTTTCAATTAAATTAATCCACTCCCTAAACCTTAACCTTTTCGAGTGGTGGGCAGCCAATTGACTCGCCAATACATTATACAAAACTAATAAATAAATAAGAACTCGATCAACCTTGGATTTGCTAAGTAAAATCTACCAAAATAATTAAATGGAATAATCAACTCCTAATCCCATCAATATTTATAAAATATATAGATATATACCGAAATTTCAGCAACTTACAAAACAAAGGTACCAAAATATGAACTTACAAATTAAAGTGCATATTTTAATAGAGATTCATAGTCATTACTTTAAATTATTGCGGACGAGTCCGCATATTCTTCTGTTTACAGCCTTCCAGTAGTATGAAAGGAAGGCAAGTGGGTCAGAAAGCAAGTTGCATATTTTAGTTGTCATCAAAATGTAAAATTTAGTCTTGAAATTCAAATTTGAAAATTAGGATATGTGAAATTAGAGAAGGTGACCAAAAAGAAGGCCAACATTTTCGAGTTTAGTACATAAGTTTTGAGCATGACGGTGTTTGTTTTACAGGTTATTGGCATAGTTCATGCATCCGTGGATAATTGATGAAGTTGATCGTGCAAATTGCAATCATTTGGTTTTGGAGTGGGATGTTGTGTGTGGCTAGTTAGTTGCATAACTCATCACTTGGGAATTTTTAAGGTACGACCTAATAAATTGGTGTGGTTTGGGGCACTGGTTAGCTGAACTTGAACCCAAGCCATCCTCTTGTCGACCTAAATTGCAGAAACTTACTAGGCTGAATGTGCATCACAAAAACGACAATGAAACTTGTTAGGTTCACTATCTTAACAAATATTATGGAAATTAATTAAAGATAAAGTTATATTTATAATTTAGACTAATCCACTTCGCTCAAATTCAAATGTCTAAATCAATATTTACAAGGTAAGTAAATATGACATGATTGTAAATTTGTTTGATACTTTTTTAATTTGACTTGGGTAATAATCAAAATGGGGAAGAGTTTTTTTTTTTTTTTTTTTTTGGGGTGTAGAGTATACCTAGAAGGGGTTAATAAAGGGAAAAGAATGAAGAAGTTGCCGCAGTAAATAGTAATTTAACTTCTTATTTTTTATTAGTGTAATTTCACTTATTAGTAAAAAGAAAATAGTAATTAGCACAAAAAAAAAAAATAATCTTATCCTTTTGCCGAAGTTCACATGGAAACTTCATCAAATCAAAATCCTCAAATTTCAGAATGAAATATCTATGAAACGTTCGGAAGTGAGTACGTAAAACTGTGAAACTCTCTCCAACTAGTTTAGAGCTTCCAAATACAAACTTAAATTCCAATAAAATTCAATAATTTTGAACCCAAAACTAAAAGAAGGCCCTTCCTACTTCCTCCACCGCTTCATAACCTTCCCCCATTTGTCCTCTCTCTCTCTCTCTCTCAAACCAAACCATATTAAGAGAGGGGGAATGAAATAAACAAATAAAAAGCATACACCAACACCAATTTTTTTCTTATAACTGATATCCTTCAATCAATCATTCATTCACACCCTTCTCCTTCTCTGTTTCTCTCTGCACCAACACCTTGTTTGGATCAGAGACGAAGACACAGCTCGAACTTGAGCATCAACATGGTTGAAACCAGACGCAGCTCTTCTTCCAAACGTGCCCTATCTGCCTCCCCTCCTCCCAACCCCAAACGTTCCAAGGTATCTTCTTTCAATTCATTTTTAGGGCTCTAACTGAATCTCTGTGTATGTATATATGGGTTTTGTCTGTGTGTACGCGAATTCTCTTGCATGTACCATTTTTTGTTCCAAGATTTGTTTTTTCATTTTGGGTTTCCAATGCTTGATCGGTTTTCGGTGAAACCCTAGGCGTCTGACGCTTCGTCGTCCAACAACGGAGTTAGGAGCGGGCCGCCGGCGGAGCCCTTGGGTCCGATAAAGGAATCTGGGTCCCAACCTCCAGAAATTGAGCTCCGATCCTCTGATCCGCCAAGCACTGATTCGTTGAAGGCTGTTAACGGCTCTGATGCCACCGTTTTCGAGAGATCTCCCGATGTCGTGGCCGAAGGCGAGGCCTTGGTTTCGCCGCAGCCCTTGGGTACAAATCTTGCTCTTTCCTTGCATGCTTGTTTGTATCTGGCTTTCGATTGCATGAAGGTTTAGGGTTTGAATTTTTGTTTGTGCTGGGGTTTTGGGTTTCATTTTTTATTTGGGTTGTTGGGGTTTTCAGGGGAGACTGCAGTCCGTGCGGGGTTGAAGCGGGCTAAGAAGCTTCCAAAGAAGACTACAAAATCAAATTCGAAATCAGCTTGGGGAATGCTTATTTCCCAGTGCTCTAAGGTGGGATTTGTTGCTTACTTTCCCCCTCCTGTCTTTTGTTATCCGTTGATTTCTTAGGAAAGATCCAAAGCAAAATTTGTAGGTTGTTGTAATTATACAAGGCCATATAATACACAAACTTTCATTCTGTTATTCTTGATACTCTTTGTTTGGCTAAAAGGGATGAATTTATCACATTGTGATATCTAAACAATGATAACACACAATAAAGCTGGCTTTTCAGGAATTTTTTTCCCAGTAATTCGACAGAGATGCTGGTTCTTATTATTTTGTTATGAATTTTATTACACCTCACAGGTCATTTCTATTTAGCATGTTAGGTTTTGTTAAATGCAAACCAGTTGCATGCAATCATATAATTTTTGCATTAACATGACACAGAGTAGCTGGGCGGATGAGGTTTATCTAAACGCCTACACAAGAGTGGTGAAATGGTGAAGGGCAAAGCTGGCGTGGATTAAATGTGTTATGTTCCATATACACATCTTCCACCTCCCTCCCACCACCCTCCCACCACCCTCCCTCACCCTTCTTCATCCCTCATTTCTTCCGTATATTTCCTCTCTCTCTAACAAAAAGATAAAATCTAAAAACAAAGATTGACAATGTTGCCATAAGAGAGAAGCAATGTTTTCTCCAAATGTATGATTGTACTACTTATTATTTTCCCCAGAATCGAAGAACTTGCTTTTTTATTTATTTATGAAGGTTATGTAAAATTTAACTGCCAAAGAAGTTTCTGTTTGCTTTCGTTCATTTTGTGCTACTAATGTTATCAAGTAGCAAGCTGTTGATTTTTATTTATTTATTTTGATTTTAATAAGAATGCTTCCTACTTGGTCAAGATGTTCTTTTTTTATTTTGAACTAATTTTACGTTTGTTTCTAATTGCTTTGCCAGAACCCGCACCTGTTCATTTGTGATACTGTTTTCACTGTCGGTCAAAGTCGTGATTGCAATTTATGTCTTAAAGACCCATCCATTAGTACTACCTTGTGTAAACTGAAGCATGTTAAGGTATTGTCTTCCATATAGCTTCTACTAAATTCTGACTGGTTATAATAGTGAGTACGCTAGGTTTGTGAAAAATTAACTGTTGGCTGATATTATTTTCCTTTTTCTTCAAATATTTTGAATTTGCATAGCGTGAAGGTTCATCCATTGCAGAATTAGAAATTACAGGGGGTAAAGGTGATGTTCAAGTAAATGAGAAGATTTATCAAAAAGATTCGAAGGTGGTTCTTAGTGGAGGGGATGAGGTTGTATTCAGTTTGTCTGGAAAACATGCTTATGTATCCTTTTTGCTGCAGTACAGCCTAGAGTAATCATTATGACATATATAATGTTGTGTTTTGGTGTTAATCCCTTCCCCGAACCCCCGCTCTTCCTTTGCAGTTTCTTATTGTATGTTGTATTTTTCAATCTAATGCCACCTCTTATTATGTTCAATTGGTTCCTTGACGTGGAATAAGATTTTCCAACAGCTGACCAATGATAATAATATAGCTGCTCAGGGCATTCCTTCAATTAGCATTTTAGAAACTCAGAGTACTCCAGTTAATGGGATACATATTGAGGCAAGATCAGGGGACCCCTCTGCTGTTGATGGGGCATCAATATTAGCGTCGATGTCAAATGGGCCAAATGACTTGTCGCCCCTTCCAGAACCTGCTAAAGCTGGTGACAATCTGCAACAAGATGCAGAGATGCCTTCTCTTGCTTCTGGCTGTGGAGGGTCAGATGATCGTACTGCAGACATTGAGATGAAGGATACAACTAACACTAATGATCAAGTTTCAGGTGATAAAGATATTGTTCAGTACCCTGACACTGCCGATGAAAACCCCAATGTTGATAGCCTTGCATTGGATATGGATACTGAAACTGGAAAAGTCCCTGGGGAAGCTTATCAACTAAGACCACTTTTCCGAATGTTTGGCGGTTCTTCTAGTACAAACTTTGACTTAAGTGGCAGCATTTCCAAGATACTTGATGAGCAAAGGGAAATCAGAGAACTTCTCCACGATTTTGATCCTCCAATTTTGATATCAACTAGGCGACAAGCATTTAAAGAGAAACTACAACAAGGAATTCTAAATCCTGATGATATTGAAGTCTCATTTGAAAGTTTCCCGTATTACCTAAGGTGCATCATTTGCTTTTTCCTTGTTGATTATGTCATGATATGATACTGAAGTAACTTCCCTAATTGCACGTGATTTGTTTCAACTATCTTTCCTTTTATTTTCCTTTCATATATAGAAAGACCTTATCCATTATCTGTGCTCCCTATTCTATGTTGGACTGATTGATAATTTCCTGTACTCACAGCTCTACTCGTTTTGTATAATGATTTTTGTACTTATTTCATTTTGCATTTTAACAGTGATACTACAAAGATTGTTTTGATTGCTTCCACCCACATTCATTTGAAGTGTAGTGAGTTTTCAAAGTATACCTCATTACTCTCTACCGCAAGCCCGCGTATATTATTATCTGGTCCTGCAGGTATCTCTGCCATTTTCTTTTATCACGTAGGCTTGTAATTCCGTGGTTTATAAATTCTATGCTGTTTTCGTTTGCTTTCCTTGTCAATCCGTTATGTTTATTATTATTTTTTTGTAGGCTCTGAGATATATCAGGAAACCTTGGCAAAGGCACTTGCGAAACATTGTGGTGCTAGATTGCTAATTGTTGATTCTCTTCTCCTGCCTGGTGTATGTTCTTTCATATCCCCATTTAATTGCTTTTTAACTAGAACCATCTTTGTTTTTCAAGTTTGTATTTCTCCTCTTCTTGTTTTCTAAATTTAGTTTTTATTGGAGTTTTGCTTCGTCATTTCAGTAATCAAAGTTTGTAATTGTACATTTAAAAAAATATTTGTCTTAATTTACTTCTAAATGAATGCAGGCACCAGTGCCCAAGGAAGCTGATTCTGTTAAAGAAGTATCAAGGCCTGACAGAGTTTCCGTGTTTGCTAAACGAGCAGCTCATGCTGCCGGATTAAAGCATAAGAAACCAACCTCTAGTGTTGAGGCTGAAATTACTGGTGGATCCACTGTGAGTTCTCAGGCTCCACCAAAGCAGGAGACTTCTACTGCATCTTCCAGAGGCGTTACATTTAAACAAGGCATGATTTTTTTCTTAAAATGTTAACCATCTAGTTTCTTACTTATTGATTATTGATTCCCAGTTGTAACTTGACACTTTCTCAGTCTCTGAGCTGCTAACTCTTGTAATCTATGCAGGTGATAAGGTAAAATTTGTGGGTGCCATATCTGCTGGGCCTCCTCTTCAGAGTTGTCCTTTAAGGTACTTGTTTTGCATGATGGTAAAAAATGTTACACCTCTGACTAACTTTGATATTCGTAAATGGCATTTGTATGTATATGCCATTTGCTGAAGCAAGAAGAGGGTCTGGTATGCCTCAATGTATGACATGGGGCATCTCTTTGAAACTGCCATTTTTCCTCTTCCATTTATTTTATTTTTTACTTAATTATGTAACATAAGAATATATTACCACTGGCATCTAAACTGAGAGAATGATGGCGGCGTAACTAAGAGCTCTAAAATCTTTGTTTTACTTGGCAATGCTGTGGCAAGTAATTTTAAGTTGCCACCCCAGTTGGGGATAAGGTGATGCATATGAAATTGCTTCTCTGCTGCCAATCCAGTTTGTGGAAAGTTTTTGTAGCAGTTTTTACCCAAATATTATTTTCCCAATTGAAAAAAGTTTTAATTCTCCTATAGGTATTAGTTGAATTCCATAGATCATTGATTGGAAAATGATTTTGGTTCTAACTTCTTCTGCAGGGGACCATCATATGGTTGTAGAGGCAAAGTTGTTCTTGCTTTTGAAGACAATGGGTCCTCAAAAATTGGGGTTAGATTTGATAAATCGATACCAGATGGCAATGATCTTGGTGGTCTTTGTGAAGAAGATCATGGCTTTTTTTGTTCTGGTGATTTTCTGATATCATATGTTCTTACATTATTACATTATTACATGCTTTTGCTTTATTCTTCTTGCTGTATTCTTGTGTTAATAATTGATTTCTATTATGCAGCTAGTCATTTACTTCACTTGGATGTTTCTGGAGGTGATGACATTGACAAGCTTGCTATTAGTGAACTTCTAGAGGTAATCCTTGCCCTTTACTGAAGCAAGATAGTTACTGTTATTTTGGTATTAATATCTGAAGTGCTCTTGTGCAGGTGGCATCCAATGAGAGTAAAAGTCTTCCTTTGATATTGTTTGTGAAAGAGATAGAAAAGGCTATGGTAGGTAACTCAGATGCATATACTGTCTTAAAGAGTAAGCTTGAAAACTTGCCAGAGAATGTTGTTGTAATCGGCTCTCATACCCAGTTGGACAATCGTAAAGAGAAGGTAAGAGTGTGAGGATTGTATTTAATTAGCTCATTTTAAACTATTTCTTGCAATCTGACATCAAAACTATATTTTATGTTTTGCAGTCTCATCCTGGTGGTCTTTTGTTTACAAAGTTTGGTTTTAACCAAACCGCTTTGCTTGATCTTGCTTTTCCGGTATGCCAGTTGCCTCTTCTACCATTTTTTTTCCTTTGTTGTGTTTATGGGCATGTATCTTGTTCTTTTTTATGTGTGTATCCTATTACTGATTCCATTTTTACATGATTATCATCATCTGTAATCATGTTTTATTCTGATTTACAATTATGCAAAAAGTGCATAAATTTCTTCGCTGTGCGTCGTGTGAGAGCATTTCTTTAGTTTTTATTCTATAACTATAACTATATTATTTTCGGATTAACTTAATTTCCTATCTGTTTGCTGGATGATTTGTGTTTAACTTCATCTCTCTATCTCTCTCATATGCAAATGTACACAAATTCCTTAAGGTCAATTGAAATAATCTGAGGATGGGGCTCTGTTCATGTTGAAATATGAAATTCACCCATATTTTGTTATCACGTAGGATCACATCCAGTAGATCAGCGTGCAATTTTTTCCTAGTGGTAGTCTGGAACTATTGCTGTCAATGTTTATTCACAAGTTGTTACCTGCTTGTTCATAGATGATTGTAATTTTGCCTTAAAAATTAAGATGAAACATTTATTGCTGGTGTTCAGGATAACCTTGGTAGGCTGCATGATAGGAGCAAAGAAACTCCTAAAACTATGAAGCAACTCACTCGGATTTTCCCCAACAAGGTGACGATACAGCTGCCTCAGGTAATGATCCTTTTTCTTACATATATATATGGTCATTTTGCTATTTGCTATTGCTTGAATGATGTAGTAACTTCGGCTATCCTGGTAGGACGAAGCTTTACTTTCGGACTGGAAGCAGCAGTTGGAACGTGATGTTGAAACTTTGAAAGCACAGTCAAATATTGTTAGCATTCGCTTAGTGAGTACATCTGATCACATTTCTATTTCTTCCTTCATGCTGGTGGTGGTTTTGTCTTGAAAATATGTTTCTACATGTACAATTTTATTGATTCAAACTCTGGACTGTTTTTGACTTTCTTGCAGTGTATGTAGTTTTCTCTTGTATACTGTTCACAAACTCTCTTGTGCACGTATTCAAACACATGAATATGAAGATGGATGCAAATGTGTTTGCTAACATGCATCTGCATACAGTGATCCAGTTCCCTGATAACATGTCTTATAACTTATTTTTACTTAGCTTTTAGTGGCTAATATTGTGTTTTACTGTTTGCTATGTTAATTCTTGATATTTACATAAAGCATTCTGATTTCAGGTTCTTAACCGTATTTGTCTGGATTGCCCTGACCTTGAAAATCTGTGCATCAAAGATCTTGCACTTACAACTGAGAGTGAGTTTTCTTGAACTTAAATCTTGTAACGTAGAACATTTTGCTGACAGTCTTGACTGGAATATTCACTTATGCTTTTTGTGTCGTTTTTTCACCAGGTGTTGAGAAAGTAGTAGGCTGGGCCTTAAGTTACCATTCTATGCATTGTTCCGAGGCTGTGGTTAAAGATGACAAACTCGTTATTTCTAGTGAAAGGTTGTACTGTGTTTTAGTACAGTATACTTTAGATGTACTGCCTATTCTCTTCTTCTAATGATATTCATTATGTTTTTATGATACAGTCTTCAGTATGGACTGAACATTTTACAAGGCATTCAGAATGAAAACAAGAGCATAAAGAAATCACTTAAGGTATGCAGATTGTTTAATGTGGAACTACCTATAAATGCCTTGCTCTTTCTGCTCTCTGAGGATGCAAGGAAAATTTGATTTTTTTTTCTTCTTATGATCAAGAATTTTAGTGTATTTGTACTGGACTTGACTTCACGAGAGTTTGCAGGATGTGGTTACAGGAAACGAATTTGAAAAAAAACTTCTTGCTGATGTAATTCCACCGAGTGATATTGGGGTTACTTTTGATGACATTGGGGCCTTGGAAAATGTTAAGGACACACTAAAGGAGTTGGTGATGCTTCCTCTTCAGAGGCCCGAATTGTTTAGCAAAGGACAGCTGACTAAGGTAGAAGCATGACCTTTTTATGTCTGTGTTTCCTTTCTCCCCTGTGGAAAGTGAAAATCTTAGTTGATGCTTCTTCTGCATGTTTGTCTTTTGATTATCGTTACTTTTTCTACAGCCTTGCAAAGGAATCTTGCTGTTTGGTCCTCCGGGTACTGGAAAGACAATGCTCGCAAAGGCTGTTGCAACTGAAGCTGGTGCAAACTTTATTAACATATCAATGTCAAGTATTACTTCAAAGGTATTTGTTGATATGCTATTATTGTGGTTGCTGGATTTTTGTGAGATTTCTTGAATCCATATGACACCTTTTAACTTTTGTTGCAGTGGTTTGGGGAAGGAGAGAAGTATGTTAAAGCAGTGTTCTCTTTAGCTAGTAAAATTGCTCCTAGTGTTGTTTTTGTTGATGAGGTTGGTGCAAAACATCTATATATTTGTGCTATGTCCAGGGAACTTGTTTTCCCCCTCATTTTCCTCTAGTTTTTCTTGTTGGAAAATTTTATTTATACAAAGAGTTTTGCTGAACTGTTTTAAAAGCTGACATGGTGAGTGAGTACGCTCCACTCATTAGAATACACCAATGTGTTTGGCAGGCCACTAGTGGATTTTGAAGTGGCCTTGTCATGAAAGATGCCATGCCAGTTTAGAAGAGAATTATAGATTCTTTTTGTTGTTTTTGTTTCAATCAATTTTCTTCTGTGCAAATGATTCTTATTTACGGCTACTGTTGTAGGTTGACAGCATGTTAGGAAGGCGTGAAAACCCTGGGGAACATGAGGCTATGCGTAAAATGAAAAATGAGTTCATGGTGAACTGGGATGGTCTGCGTACAAAGGATAAAGAACGTGTATTGGTTCTTGCTGCTACTAATAGGCCTTTTGATCTTGATGAGGCCGTTATTAGGAGGCTTCCAAGGAGGTAAAATCGTATGTTTTTGCCTTTACTACATATGTTATATGTCAATGCAAGTTTCACTAACTTCCTATGTACGATATTAATTTGTGTGCAGATTGATGGTGAACTTGCCAGATGCCCCAAACAGAGAGAAAATACTGAGAGTCATACTAGCCAAAGAAGATTTTGAACCTGATGTTGATTTGGAAGCAGTATCAAGTATGACGGATGGGTATTCTGGAAGTGACCTAAAGGTTGCCTACTAATTTTTCTGAGACCATACATGCTCCTTAGATATGTTGTCTTCGTTTTTTTTTCTTCAAAAATTGTATGTAATAGATTGTCTTGATTTCTTTTGTGGTTGCAGAACCTGTGTGTTACTGCAGCTCACCGCCCCATTCGAGAAATTTTAGAGAGAGAAAAAAAGGTTGGTTTTCTGGAAGTAACATTTGATTTTTGGGACTTTAAGTGGTGTGGTTGGTTATAAGTTTTCTTTCTCCACATATCTCAGGAGAGAAGTTTAGCTGTGGTGGAGAACAGACCTCAACCTGAATTGTATTGTAGTTCCGACATCCGTCCTTTGAAGCTGGAGGATTTTAAACATGCGCATGAGCAGGTATGTTTTAGGCTTTTTGGTTGTTGCAGTGTCTACCTGCGGTGTTGGGTTGTCTTGGAACTTTTGGTTGTTTAATATTGAACTCAATGCCACCAGGTATGCGCAAGTGTATCATCAGAGTCTACGAATATGAGCGAGCTCCTCCAATGGAATGACCTATATGGAGAAGGTGGATCCAGAAAGAAGAAATCTCTCAGCTATTTTATGTAGAATAGATAATTCTTTTTTTTTTCCTTTTTTTATTTTCCTGCTTGTATAGAAAGCTTAAAGGCGTGGCAAGATGGGATCTTACTTAGATATCCATTGAAATCCCATTGCAGGTCATGTTCCCATTTGTATGATATATATATATAGGTTTTATATTTTTTCTTACCTTTTCTTTTAATTTACAATTAACATGTCTGTTAGGAATGCCGTTTCTCAATTCATAATTCAGTCAACTGACTGGCCCTTTCTCTTTGCTATTAGGCCTTTTGCCTGCACATACGACTGAGTAATGGAAAACCCATTTACAGTTCCTTTTTTGGGCTGGACAACCTTCTGTCTGCTTATTTACCACAACCTTCATGCGTATTGTAACGGAAGCGGTAAAAAAAGAGAAAGTGAAAGAGAAATGGTTATCAATGGGCCTGCCTGTAACACCATTCTGATACTGTTATGAGGGGTAGTAATTTGATCAATTTGATTTATTTTTAAAATAATAAATAGGGTCCGGAATTAACAACCGACGACTTTTGGGCAGTCAGTGTGTGCGGTGGAAGGTTGAACAAGGATGATTCTTTCTGTTTATAGCTCGTAGGTCTGACGGTGGATGACATGTCCTTTCTAATTTATGGTATATTAATAAAAAATTAATTATTATTCTTATTATAATATTGATGACCCGTAACCCAAAGTGATGTCTCTCTCTGGTTTGTGGTACCTACTGTATATGGTCAAATTAGCATTCGAGTGAATGGTCCACGTCCACCTCCGTCTTTGACTTATTAATACCTACGCTTTTTTTTTTATTGCATTCGTCTGAATTCAACCGAATTCAATTCAATTCAAACTGAAGAACCTCAAAACCAAACCAACAGAACAGAAGAAACCAATAAGCGAGCAAGTGTACCGCCATGGAGCTCATGTCTCATTCCTCAACCTTTCTCCTCCCTACGATCCCACCTTCTCCAACCTATGCGCTTGTGGTGCTTAACCAGAGCCTCCCGAGATTCGCCCCTCTTCTATGGAAGCACGGTACTTATTCCTGCACCTTCACCTTTATTTTCTTTTTTTCCAGTTTTCACTTTTTCAATTTGTTTCTCTGAGCATTTTGTGGTGCGTGTTTGTTTAGAGCAGCACAACTACGTTTGTGTGCCGACGGCGGAGCAAATCGCGTTTACGATGACATGCCTCTCCTGTTGCCTCATGAAAACGCTTTCGA